TGAAGGTCATTTGTACCAAAATGGTAAAACCCACAGAGATGAATACTGGATATGCGCTCATGAAAGTTATGTAACATTATTCATGTATGCACCAACGGTACATTCTATGATACGCTAGTGGAAGTATTCATTTCAAGAGGTCAAACAAAAGGTATTCATGAAGCACCTCTAGGACTTTGGCAGTTATTATTCCAAGATGCTCAAAGTGGAACTTCTCTATGTGTAAAAGGTCTGTGGATATTTGGGGTCATTTGTACCATGTGCTATCTGTAAACTCCCTTATTGTTCACATAAAGTTGAAATACACGTGAGATTATGAGCGATGTATCATCATATCTGCCTCAAGTATTTTTTAAACAAAGTGGAACAACAATCCCCAACAATTATGACGACACAGTGGCTGTAGCCCCTACCGAATAGTAAAACACATGAACAGGAAAGAGAGAAAGGGAGAGGAGGAGGGCAACGTGCAAATAAATTCATAGGCCCTCTTGAACGCCCCCCCCTCATTTTATATCTTGGTTTTTTTTGTGTTGTCCTCGACTCTCCGTAGGTATATATGCACCTTATATTATTATCATTGTCATTATTATTTGTATTATCATGAATTATTTGTATTAATGTTATTTTCATTATTATTATTAATATTATTAGTAGTAGTAGTATAAGTATTTATTGCAAATTCACGTTATTTTTTTATTCAGATATGGACGGATGAGAACATGATATGGGATCCCTTGGATTTCGGTGGCGTCGATTACGTGACCGTAAAAAAAAACGATGTCTGGCTTCCCGACATCTGCCTCTATCAAAAGTAAGATGACGTCATTATTAAAGAATCGTTTTTAAGCTGAGATACACGGCCCTACGTGTTATCAGTGTCTGTAATATGATGTAATATTGCAGCCCGAAACAAACTGCGCTTCAAAATGAAGAAGAAGTGCCTCAAAAAAAGGAAAAATCTTTGAGCGACCGGTTTTACCATATTTGTTTTCCCCAATAGACTGTAGTGGTACGAAAACCGTTAGGAAAACGCAAAATTTGATTTCGATTTCCAATCATATGTATCTTGATAATCAAACAGGCGTTCGGCTTGTAAAAGTCATGGGATTCCTGACTGACCTACCGGTTTATAGCTGTCATTGCAGCATGAGCTAAATCCAGGATTTTGTTTCACAATCTGAGGCAAACTTACTGGATCCCTATAAACAACTGTTTAAATCTTACTTCAGGCCCATAAAACGTAGGGGTTCTGGGGTTGGAGCAAAGACTCTTACCCCTCGAAACCACCCTACCCCCTTCCCCTACATAATATTAGAACTATCATTACAAATATGTATATTTTGCTCGTCAAAGAATTCAGGGGAGAAAAGGGGGACGAATTTCATCAACTCCGTTTGTTTAAACATACGTGCATGTACAGTCCTTTCAGCACATTAAGAGAACCGATGTTGACTTTGTTTTCGAATGAGTAAATTGTCACGCGCATGTATTATTAGAAAATTCAAATACTCGATCGGCTTCTCGCGAACGGTCGTAGTTATGATTATGGGGGATGTATATTTTAAAGACATGAAGCATCTATTATGAAGCGCATACAATTCGCAATAAGGTGACCTTCACATGTAATTACTGTCGTAGAATAATTTTCTTGTCGCTCATTGTCTCCCTATCTGCCTTGCTCTCCCGCGGGCCGTTGATCAACCATATTGCCCTTGTCGCTATCCCCAATTTTTACCTAGGCTTTATTTACCCCCCTCCCCCTCTCTCGTTCATTTAATAACATTTAAATGTCACGTTATTTCCTCAATGTCAGCGAACTCTCGCAGGGACCTGGGGTCCGTTTCATAAAACTTGTTAATTATTACCACTGCTACATTTCTATGACAAATTTGCTCTCAGCCAATCAGATGCCATGATTTCAGAAGCTTATAACAGTAGCTTGTAACTTGTTATTTGATATCAAGTTTTATGAAACAGGGCCCTGATCCAGGGTTTAACCCTTTGCTTACGGGAACCTGGTGGTCCCTGCATGTGTTAAGCCTATGGGACTTATAGAATTCGGTAGTCAACGGGTTAATGTCTGCTTTGTTTAGCGTCTGTTTCGTAGATAACGGCTATGATACAGTGGAAAACACCCTTCACTCAGACAGGACGTTAATGCACCTTCGCATAGTTTGAACCCCCTACACTATTTGTAAAAGAGCAGGGGAACCCAAGTCTAGTGGTCCACCTACACTACCCAATCCGTTATACAGGGAGGAGGGACCCGAGGGTTACAGTGATTCAGCTCATTTTCTCCCTCTTAGGCACATGGGACACCAAATACTCAATAGTACCAATTCAAAATAAAACTAGACTTTAATTCGTCACTTTGACGAATTAGGTGATACGTATGCTAATGATTTACACAATGAAGAATGCATTTTCACGATTTCATATCGTTATATAAAATGCTTCTCCCGTTATGATCTATCCATATATATATATATATATATGAATGAAGGCAATGACAAACGAGAGCGAGAGAGAGAGAGAGAGAGAGAGAATATGGCCCGGTTCAAATTCAGTTTTCTTTAAATCAGACCCAGTACTGAGGATCTTTCGATGTGCCATGTTTTTGTTATTTGATGGCCTTTGAAGCTACATAGAAATGCCGTCTTTTGTCACCAAATATTGTTCAAATAGCATTGTAGAGACGATGAACAACTACGAACGCAAAGTCGTTAGCCATGAGAATGTCAATTTCTATCAACCAAGTAGAATCAACTGTTTTTTTCTTTTGTCACCAAATATTGTTCAAATAGCATTGTAGAGACGATGAACAACTACGAACGCAAAGTCGTTAGCCATGAGAATGTCAATTTCTATCTCGTTCTGCTAAATAATCCGAACAATAGAATCAACCAAGTAGAATCAACTGTTAAACGAATTTATCACGAGTTCTGAAATTTCAATTTGTTACTGCACGTCATAATAGTATTAAAGAGCAGCAATGGCGAACGATTGTCGCTAAAATTCAAAAATTGTTGCTTAGATTGATTAAATTACCACGAGACATCAAGCTACATACGGTAGAACTATGATCGACAAACATGATATTGTTTCGAAAACAGTCTGAAAACATTGGAGGTAGAATGAATAAGAGATAATGTGGTCATGTAAACAAGTGCATTATGTCCATGTTAATCCCCTAGTTCCAAAATCATGATTGTATTCTCTATTTATTTCTCCTATATAATTTATTTCAATTTAAAATAGAAATTCTAATGTTCCTTCTTTTGGCTTGATAATATTTCAGCAACGAATCGACAGTTTTGGTAGACATCTTGGATGTATCTTAGCAATACATTCTTGGCACATGACGTATTGTGTATACGATAATAATGATAAGAAGAAGAAGCATACAAATAACTATAAGAATAATAACAATAACACATAATTACTATAATAATGATTATAATTACGATATTTACTATGATAATCAATATAATAATGATTATTATGATACTGCTGCTATTACTACTACTACTACAACTACTATAAGAAGAAGTAAATGAAGAAAAATGGTAGGAGAAGAATCATTTCAGCGATATTAGTGAGTATATTCTAAATGATTGAGGTATACACGTGCATAAACATTACATATTCCGTGGTAAGAATAAAGTAAGCGAGGAAAATGAAGGCAATGACAAACGAGAGCGAGAGGGAGAGAGAGAGAGAGAGAATATGGCCGGGTTCAAATTCAGTTTTCTTTAAATCAGACCCAGTACTGAGGATCTTTTCATGTGCCATGTTTTTGTTATTTGATGGCCTTTGAAGCTACATAGAAATGCCGTCTTTTGTCACCAAATATTGTTCAAATAGCATTGTAGAGACGATGAACAACTACGAACGCAAAGTCGTTAACCATGAGAATGTCAATTTCTATCTCGTTCTGCTAAATAATCCGAACAATAGAATCAACCAAGTAGAATCAACTGTTAAACGAATTTATCACGAGTTCTGAAATTTCAATTTGTTACTGCACGTCATAATAGTATTAAAGAGCAGCAATGGCGAACGATTGTCGCTAAAATTCAAAAATTGTTGCTTAGATTGATTAAATGACCATGAGACATCAAGCTACATAGAACTATGATCGACAAACATGATATTGTTTTGAAAACAGTCTGAAAACATTGGAGGTAGAATGAATAAGAGATAATGTGGTCATGTAAGCAAGTGCATTATGTCCATGTTAATCCCCTAGTTCCAAAATCATGATTGTATTCTCTATTAATTTATTTCAATTTAAAATAGAAATTCTAATGTTCCTTCTTTTGGCTTGATTTTTTCAGCAACGAATTGACAGTTTTGATAGACATCTTGGATGTATCATAGCAATACATTCTTGGCACATGACGTATTGTGTATACGATAATAATGATAAGAAGAAGAAGCATACAAATAACTATAAGAATAATAACAATAACACATAATTACTATAATAATGATTATAATTACGATATTTACTATGATAATCAATATAACAATGATAATAATAATGATTATTATGATACTGCTGCTATTACTACTACTACTACAACTACTATAAGGAAAAGTAAATGAAGAAAAAATAGTAGGAGAAGAATCATTTCAGCGATATTAGGGAGTATATTCTCAATGATTGAGGCATACACGTGCATAAACGTTACATATTCCGTGGTAAGAATAAAGTAAGCGAGGGAAATGAAGGCAATGACAAACGAGAGCGAGAGAGAGAGAGAGAGAGAGAGAGACAGAATATGGCCGGGTTCAACTTCAGTTTTCTTTAAATCAGACCCAGTACTGAGGATCTTTTCATGTGCCATGTTTTTGTTATTTGATGGCCTTTGAAGCTACATAGAAATGCCGTCTTTTGTCACCAAATATTGTTCAAATAGCATTGTAGAGACGATGAACAACTACGAACGCAAAGTCGTTAGCCATGAGAATGTCAATTTCTATCAACCAAGTAGAATCAACTGTTTTTTTCTTTTGTCACCAAATATTGTTCGAATAGCATTGTAGAGACGATGATCAACTACGAACGCAAAGTCGTTAGCCATGAGAATGTCAATTTCTATCTCGTTCTGCTAAATAATCCGAACAATAAAATCAACCAAGTAGAATCAACTGTTAAACGAATTTATCACGAGTTCTGAAATTTCAATTTGTTACTGCACGTCATAATAGTATTAAAGAGCAGCAATGGCGAACGATTGTCGCTAAAATTCAAAAATTGTTGCTTAGATTGATTAAATTACCATGAGACATCAAGCCACATAGAACTATTATCGACAAACATGATATTGTTTTGAAAACAGTCTGAAAACATTGGAGGTAGAATGAATAAGAGATAATGTGGTCATGTAAGCAAGTGCATTATGTCCATGTTAATCCCCTAGTTCCAAAATCATGATTGTATTCTCTATTTATTTCTCCTATATAATTTATTTCAATTTAAAATAGAAATTCTAATGTTCCTTCTTTTGGCTTGATTTTTTTCAGCAACGAATTGACAGTTTTGATAGACATCTTGGATGTATCATAGCAATAAATTCTTGGCACATGACGTATTGTGTATACGATAATAATGATAAGAAGAAGAAGCATACAAATAACTATAAGAATAATAACAATAACACATAATTACTATAATAATGATTATAATTACGATATTTACTATGATAATCAATATAACAATGATAATAATAATGATTATTATGATACTGCTGCTATTACTACTACTACTACTACAACTACTAAGAAGAAGTAAATGAAGAAAAAGTTGTAGGAGAAGAATCATTTCAGCGATATTAGTGAGTAGTGAGAAAGTGCATACATTGTGTGTTGGCAAGCCAGAATCCGATAACCGGGGTAAAAATGTAAAGCGCTTAGAAACTCGGACATTCCCGACGTACATGTATTAAGCGCTATGTAAGCAAAAATATTATTATTAATGTTATCATTATTACAGTGTCGTCAAGGATTTCATCAGTTACGCAGATACTTACATTGTCGTGTCGAGCAATGGCACCATGGACTGGTACGCGCCGGTCATCGTAGCCACGTCCTGCCCCATCGATATTACCTACTTCCCCTACGATGTGCAGCACTGTAACCTGACCTTTGGCCCTTGGTCACTGAACACAGAAAGGGTGAGACAGGGCGAATCAAATATTTTGGTCCCCCTCCCACTCCCTACAAAAAAGGGAAACAAGACAAGAGTGCACTATTTTTAAAATAGGCGTCACATTTCTGGATCTTATACACAGACCTCATTTAATTCGCACAGGGCGTTTGCTCGCGGTTTTCAAACATATTCCATATCTGAATCATCCTTTAAGGGAGCTCGGTAATATGTTCATTTGAGAAACGTCAATTAGGTTATGAGATTGGATATGGCCGTTTGTGGCATTATGAGGTTTTCTGGCTTTCAACGTCATGGGCGTCACTGTGAGAGGGTGAGGGGGAGGGGAAGGGTGGGGGAGGAGGTTAGCATCCAGTGGCTGATCCAGGGTTTGCCGATAGGAGAGGGCCTAAAGGTCTGTCAGGCACTACCTAAATGAGATGAGAAATTATTCTTGCAATGATCAAAGCTACCGCCTGCTGAGTTTACAAACCTGGACGATAACTGCTAAAGCATACTGCTCATTTTCCAATTCGAGTTGTTTGAAAGTTGTAAAACTTTATTTATTCCTTCAATAATATTGTTCCAGGTCCGTTTTCAAATTTCAACCGACGCCGATGCCAATGTGGACTTATTCCATAAAAATGGAGTCTGGATACTGGAAAAGACAACATCCAGAAATCAGATCGTTGAATCGTGTTGCTACAATATCTCTTGGTCCTCAGTCCAGTTTATCCTGCAAATCCGCCGTCAATCGAGTAAGTATACTTTCTAATACCATAATTAGGCCAAATACATTAATAAATCCATTGATTAATTCATTCATGTGTGCATTCATTAATTCATCATTCATTCATATATTCATTCATTCATTCATTTATTCATTAATTCATACATTCATTCATTCATTTATTCATTCATTCATGCATCCATGCATTCATTCATTCATTCATTCAACCAAGTCATTGGTCCAATGGACATTTAAACATGTAAAATTGTTTTGCTGAAATCAACAGGTTCAAGTATAATTTTCGCATTACAGAAACCTAAGTCAATCGATGACATGTTACATTACTGCGATATATATATATATATATATATATATATATGATTAAAATATTAATTTTGGTTAAAACAAATTTTAAGCTAATCTTTTTTTTCACATACTATTGAAAACACCACTTAATTAATTCCTTCTTTCTCGTCACTTCCTTCTTTCCCTTTTAGGCCCACCTAATTTTGTTATATTTGAAGAATTTGAGGGCATCTAAACATAAGGGTAGTTAACAAAAAATCATTAATTTATAGCAATATCTTTTTGAGCGTGTGTAGTGCATATATTCAGATAAAATTACTTTCAATGGAAATGTGCTAGCATTGACTCAATGGTAAAAAAAATATGAAATATCAAGTAAAATATGATGAATATTGAAAAAGGTTATATTTGCATATATAAACAGAGTACATTTGTATATTTGAGTAGGGTGCAATTGCGGACTCAAACCGGGTACATTTCGATATATTCGTCACAAATGCAGGTTTCTACACTCGTACTGTCGTTGTCCCATGTATTCTCCTGACGGCGTTGATGGCGCTCGTCTGTTGGCTTCATCCAGCGTCTGGAGAGAAGGTGACCTTGGCGGTCAGTAACCTTCTGGCGTTGATCCTCTTCCAGCAGCTCGTTGCCGATAGACTGCCACCAAGCGGTGAGACTACGTCCATCATTGGTAAGTATGCCTATACTAAAGAGGCGGCTGAGGAGAAACACAAATTGTCTTTTTCTAATTCTTTGTACGTCGGTTTGGAATAAAATCTTAGTAGACCGGATCCACACGTCCTTTGAAAAGAATCGTTCATCAAAATAATGCTCTTAAAATTATTAAAAATAGCCTATAACAAGAGATACCTGAAAAAATTAACCAAACTCTCAAGCCACATATATATGTAGTCCCATTAGCCCATTCCTGGTTGCAGTGCATTAAAAAAAAAAGCAAGATTCGTTTTTGTTTTACGCCCCTGGCCCCCTTTAAAAAGTTACTAATCACGTGGCACCCTCTTCTCATCTTACAGTGATTTTCTTCATCGTGATGATTGGGTTGAGCTGTGCAGAGGTGGTCTGCTCCATCGTTGTCCTGCGACTCTACCATACCGGTGGAAGGCGGCAGATACCCAACTGGTTGAGACGCACGATGCTGCACCCGTTCATCATGCGTCTCTACACGAACGCAGAGTGTACCACCATGCTGCGTGCCGAGGATAAGGCCAACGAGTAAGTATAGCCCGATGCCACTAAACAATCATTGACAATTATTTTCATGCAAACTGCTTATCCCCGAAAACTGCCCCCTTGAACAAATCTATCTCCTATTAAGTCAATGTTGCCTTGTTAAGTAGTACTAATAGTATCAACGCATGTTTATGTAGTATTTCATATTTTGTTGTCAAGGGGGTGTTTCATCAACTCAAATTGATTTCGATCTTGAAAAACAATTTCAAGACCGAGTCAATTCTAGGCTGTTATTGGATACCCATCAAGTTTAAGAACAATTTTAAGGCTTTAATCTGTATAAATTATGTTCTTTCCTTTTTCAGACTCCTGATTATGAATTCACTGAGTAATCCGACTCCACAAAACAACACCATCAACTCAACACAAAACCAAGAAAATGGGATGCATGTGGAGAAGAAAGCAAACGGTGTCGTCCAAACCATCAGCCAACTGCCTGAATTCGACACTGTGAGCATGCGCTATGACCTGGAAGTGCTTAGCAGGACGTGGCAGGAAGTGGCCATCGTCTGCGACAAGTTCTTGTTTATTCTTCTGCTACTGGTCACTTTTGTCGCTTGGTCGTATCTTCTTGTTAGCTTTCTGACGATGAAGGCGTATTAGCTCAGTCGGTAGAGCAGTGGTCTCGTAATCCGGTGACCCGGGTTCGAAACCAAGGCGATCCGCTTAGGTCCCTCGTAGACGACTTAAAGCAGTCGGCCGTCTGGTTGCTTACTTACCAGCATATATGCTTTCTTAGCAGTCAGGTAAAATAACCACCACCACCTAAAAAAAATAGTCAAAACAATGGGACTGAATAGACAGGGGGAGATGAGGATTGCCTCATGATAATATACCCTTGCCTACGTTGTAACTGTAATAAGTTGTCAAGAAATATTAGTTTTATGCGACGCATTCAGTATCTCTTGCCTAAGCAAGTACTAGTAATGATTTAAATTAATCCCTTTTAACCTCACATTGACTCCTGCAATATTACAAGAGTTCAATAATTACAAAAGCGCTATGCTAGATTTATGCTACATGCCTATTTGTGTAAAAGTGGCACAATGCCTGGGTGTCATGATTGACGAGGAGTTACGTTGGACGGAACATGTGGAAAAGGTTATAAAAACTGCTCAAAAGATACAAGTGTAATTGAGCGAGCCAAACGTTATGTTCCAACAAGATCTCAGAAACTTCTATTTAATGCAATCGTACTTCCTTAATTTGATTATTGTTCCTCGGTTCTATCAAGACGTCACCTACTTTGAACAGTCTTAAACACACTCTAAAAGCCCTGTTATCTGCAGATGACGTGTAAGTTAACCTTTGGTTCTTTTTCGTGCGAAGCTGACCAATTTTCCCTAATTGCAAAATTACTAAAGGTTGATATGGTTAACCCTATATTATGCATACATACATCTAATGTATCCATTTTCAGCTACCTTGTAAACAACCTACGTGTGTAAGTTAAAGTGCAATCGAATGTAAATATGTACAGTATATAACAATGTTGGTATCCCGTGCCCGTGTGTTAAGCTATATCAGATTATTAAAAATGTATGCTTTCAATCATTTTGTTGACTTTCTTTTAAATACGTGGTTATCATCTATTCTTCTTTTTATTTTCCATATTTTAATTTATTTTCTATTAAAATTGAAAATTCCATTCACACATTTCTTGTAATTGATCAAGGATAATTATTGAATGAGCAGTTATTTCATGAGGATACCATTAAATTTGTACTTCACCTGTTTATATGCTTGTGTATCTATCTATGTTTGTTTTTTGCTGCTGTTATTTTTATTCTTATCAAACAGGGCCTCATTAAAGATCACCAAATTGGTGATATGTGCCACCCTGTATAAATATTAGAAATAAATAGATAAATATCATCTTTACTTTCTTTCACGAGGTGATGTAAATACTTTACCATTTTAAATGCACTCGCAGCCAGTTTATCGTATTAAATCTGAATTGTAATTTTTTGGTAAACAATTTTTAGGGGTTATGACTTATTTCTGTGTTTTTTAAAATCGTAACCTCGTATATTTTGTAGTCTTTCTTAATGTTTATATTTTCATTGTGTCATGTAATGTTGAAATGTGTGTACGTATTTATAATTGTACAGACAGGGTCACTTGGAGGAGCAATATTCGTTCATTGAAAGGGCTACCCTGGATAAAGAAGACTTGAAGAAAACAAATAAATAAAATATAGCTTTATAATTATTTAACCATGGTGACAGGACAACAATAATAATAATAATTATAATATTTGTGCTTATATAGCGCTTAATACGTCAGGAGTGTCCGAGTTTCTAAGTGCTTTACATTATTACCCCGGTCATCGGATTCTGGCTCACCTGCACACAATGTATGCACTTTCTCCACTCCCTGGGGAGCATTCCGACAATAGCTACTCGGCTCAAATTGTTAAAGCATACCAAAAGACTGAAGTATGGTCAAGGATCGTGGTGAAGCATAATAAATGGCTTGATTTGCCCCCCCCCCCTTTGATGCCACCGACCTATAGGAAGTTATGTAAAGGTCAATACGACGAGGGACGATTCATTTTGTGTATGCTATTCCAACGGTAGAAAACATAGAAGAAAATCATGACGCAAACATGATTCGCAAAATACAATGTTCTTCACTTTAATGTAATAAAAGAGTGGCCGTATTAAATTTTTCTTATCGTAGTTCACGTACTAAAGTTTACAAAATCACAGCATTTTTGCTAGTTTAGTCATCGTTTTCAATTCAAAGTCTGACGATATAAATGTCAGTCAGATACAACTTCGGAAAAGCGAGCACCCCGAAATCTGCGTATAACGCATCATGAATACCGTGTGAGTCAAACAAAAAATTACACCTAAAAAATTGCTTATCATTTTAAAAATCATCTATAAACAGTAAATTATTATACATCTTATGAATAATTTGTTTTATCCCAAATTATTTGGTTTCAGTTTTGTGTCGTTTGTGTTGACGCTTGGATGAACAGGAGGCATTGTTTGCGAGAGTGCGAGAATCGATACACGCTAATCCTCGCTGCACCATAACGCGTGTGGGCGTCGACAATGTTACTACGAATAATAAGCTCTTTAGGGGCATTTACACTGTGTTCCAAACACGCCAAAAAATGTCAAACCGGAGCCTGGCCGCGATGTTAACAAGGGCAACTACGCTTTACCGGCAGACATGCCAAGCCCGAAACATTCCAAAACGAAGTGTGATCTTTTGGCGTGTTTTGGCGTGTTTTGGCGTGTTTTGGCGTGTTTGGCAAGTATGAACGCTCGCAGTTGTAACATCGCGATGTTAGGTCACGTGACTTTAGGAGCTGAGCTAGCTGCCGTCCTTGAAGAAAATGATAGAACGATGTAAACAAAGAACAACATAAGAGAAGATGATAGAAGGAAGAAACAAAGAATAACATAAGGAAACACAAAGGAGGAAGTGGTAGAAGGAAGACGCAACGAATAACATAAGGAAACACAGAAAGAGAAAGTGATAGAAGGAAGTGATAAAGAATAACATAAGAGAAGGTGCTAGAAGGAAAAACAAAGAATAACATAAGGAAAGACAGAAAGAGGAAAGTTTTTGCATCGGAGTGCCGCGCATGCGCATTACCAACTAAAACACGCCAAAACATCACTGAGCTTTTCAGTCGGTGATGTTTCCGCACAAGTGTAAACGGGTGCGCGAAACATCGCGACTTTTCAAAATGAGGTATTTGACAGTATAAATGCGCCTATAATAATTGGTCAGAAAAAGTACGCATGACCTTACTGTTTTAGTTTTAATTTCATTGGATATATATGCGATACACAATCCCTGCCCACGCTCTCTTGTTATTCTGAACATATGACGTAATAGCCGGTGGCGTAGCGTGACCAGGTCAAGTCGTTGAGGGGGTGGGGGGGGGGGGGGGGTGGGGGCTCATCGGTCTTACTGGATATATCATGCAATGCAAATATAACAATAATTATCATCATCATCACGTGGGTCCTCTATATGGGGCGGAGTAGGGGGGGGTGGCGGGTTGGGTATCCTCATTACCGCTCTCCATCTCAAATATGATTATGCGGCGTCCGATTAAAGGTGGGTTTGAAAGGCAAAAGTAGTCCTGTTATTTTCGTTCCACTTCCCTCTCCCCCTTTCTACCCTTTTCGTCTTTTCCCTCCCCGTCCCTACCCCTTTCTTCTTTTCTCAGTGTTCGTCATTTAATTGCGGAGGTAGCCCCGTGCCCCTTTAGCTACGTCCCTGTTCCTAGCGAGATCAAGCTCACTGAATTGACTGATGTTCGCCCATCTTCACGCGCATCATCATCTGGGCATTGTAGCCCGCATGTTTTTTGTTAGCTGGTGCCGGGCAGAGTTTGCTCAAAATTAACATTACATTTGAAGTTCTGATCAAAGAGACACTGCGAGCACCTACTTCGTCTTCAAACATCCTTTGCTCCGCAGTGACAGTGTATTTCAAGCAAACTGATGCATCTTTAGTGTCTAATACTACTCAATCAACGGAATAAGACCGCTGCCTCTGTAACAAACAAAAGCATTCCTTGTGATTGTCTCTTTGATGGATATTCCCACCTCCTGCGGTGGAAATTTAATATTATTTTGAATTAAAATAATTACCCGTTTTGTCATCCCCGCCATCTTGCATACTATTCATGCTATTTGGAATAACTTTGAAGCAGACTTCCACCCTGATGACTACCTTGACGTTTCTATTGTTATTTGGATTAATTCAAGCATCGTATGGCAAGTATTTACGAAAAGTTAACTTATACGCGATTCCATACCCTATGTTATGTCCCACAGAAATCATATTTGGATTGGATACTTAATATGCCATTGTAAAGTACGCCTAATTAAGAAAGGTAGCGTATATAAAGCCTAAACAAAAGAGATGTGTTTTGCCCTTTGCGACCGACCCAAAAATCTTGAAATCTACGTTCGGCTTTTTTAATTATTTTTTTATAGCGTTTTTTAGAGAAAAAAAATGTATTAAAGCATTCAAAACTGAGAAATATCAGCCCAAAGAGAGAGTAAAAAAAGAAAGAAGATATTTCCGACCGACCGAGTTGTAAGAGATAAGTGAATTTATTAGTTTATAATTATAACTCCCGTTTTGACATCTCTACATTGGTTGCCGATTCAATGGCGTACAGAACGTAATATTTTATTACTTGTATTTCATTGTTTGCATTGTACTGCCCCTAAGCACAACTCGACTTTGTTCAATTTCCTTATAATAAGACAACTCAGATCTTCTAACTCTTCTCATCTTGTAGTCCCCAAAACAACAAAATCGATCTTTTACGCATGCTAGATCAGTTCTATGGAATCAATTACCAAAGCCTCTTAAGAAAATTCAATTGTTCAAAATCATTTTTGATTAATTCAATATATCCACATTCCATCCTTGTCATTCCTTTATATTTCCTTAACTTATATGTGTGTCAACGTATTTCTTCGATGTACTCTTAATTATTTTGTTCATGTCCCCTGTATTGCAATCCATGTCTATTTATAGTGTACATTTTTCATGTATACTGCCAGCGCTTGTGTATATTCTAGGAAATGGATAATATTAATATAAATTCATGTCATTCATGTCTCCTATTTCATTTTTTAAAGGTGGGCGTTATAGCATTTCTTTTTTTTATGTATCCAAGTTGTTGAATTCATTAATACTTCATGCATTATTAGTTATAGAATGCTAAGAAACATGAATCCAAAATGTTGTCCATTCATAGTTTTTTTCTTCTGTTGGTATTTAAAGAGAAGGTTGAGTTCTGGGAAGAGGTGAAAATAATTTGTGAGCATTACTCTTTCTTATTATGCAAGTGTGGAAGAAAATCAGTTAAGACATGTTCCCTGAAAAGCATGGCTCTTCAAATGCCTTCATATTCTAAATATGCATGTAACATCGTAAAAATCGGGGGGGGGGGGGCGGCTTTTTACGCAACGTGTTCGTGTAGTCCCATATACATCTTTCTGTGTAACTTTACCAAGACTTGGCCATATTTCTTATCATTTTGATGATTCCAGAACCTTGCAATACACACAAATTCTAATATGCTAGATGATCAACCTTTTCTGGTCGGTTCCACACCGTTTCTTTCACAATGCAATCGCATGACTAGAACTCAACTTCATCTTTTACATTTAAAAAAATATACATTGTTCCTATATCCTGGAATGTATAATGGTGATATAATACAATTCTCATCATCGTTATTACTGCCGGGTTTTAGAATTTCTTTTTTCCAGCTTTTATTTCCATCCGAACGAAATATATTATTTAAAAAAATACTGAATGGGTGAATAGAATATTGAGAGAGTCTGATATTACGTCACAAGCTGTTTAATATCAATACAGAAATCGGAATCCAACCTCAATGGCAAGCTTTTCTAAAACGAAGCAGAAAAAATCAAAGTAGCACACTGTTGAAAGTTTGAAGGAAATCGGACAGAATATGAAAACTTTATAAATATGAATGATTTATAAGACAAAAAGTTGCAATCACTACCTGTATAGGTATGTGCTTTTCAAATTGACTGAATCGGTCATATCGCTGTGATGTAGTGGCGGACAACTTTCTCATTCGTTCCACCACACACAATATCTAAGATTTCAAATTTAAAAAATGTATGACTCTAGATGGTCTTTTCTTTTAAAGACAGTCAATACTACTGGGCCAGAAGGGATTAGACCACACAGCGAGGTCACTGACAGGTGGCTATCTCATTAACTCAGCTCTCAACTAACGTAATAAAAAGGGGATCATGGGGGACCAACAGGCACCGATTGGGGAAGTTTTCTATATAGAGGGAGCAAGTAGCTATAAATAGGACAGTGGGGCTTAAGAGGACCTGTAAGAATATTCTCTCCATACAAATTACGTAGCGTCCCAAGAGTGAAGGCACTTGGGAGAAAAAAAATGAAATCAGTGATATTTGTGTACACGACAAACGGGCTATAGTTATCCGTCACCACGTTACAATCCACTGACAAAATTGTAAATTTAAGATTCGCATAGCTGTAGTGACCTCACATTTCAAACATTCATAACTTTCTTATTGCAAGGGGTTGGATTGCCCTTTTAATGTGGCATATCATGATTTATTTCGAAGGGGAATTGGGGGAGAAGAGAAGTATGCAACACATATCCGCGAATGATTGTGTTAAAGGGGCTTAGTAACATTTTTCAGACGAGAGAAAGTGGTGCTAAGGTAGTGACTTCACCGTAGAGGATTAAAGATAATCTGAAAGTTTGAGTGAAAACAGACCATTATTAATGATAGAAATTGAGAAAAACTGATCTGATCGACTCCTAAATTCTCCCAACTATATTATCGCAATGCAATTACATATTAGGTTAATGAAAATCGTCGCAAGCAATGAATCGGCTCTATTATACCATTCCAGACATGTAAGTGTTGAAATGTTTTTGAAGTCTGTTTTATGTCTTATTTTTTTATGGAAAACCGGTTGGAAAAATTCAAGAATGGTTGGGGAATTGACTGTAAGAGGGTGTCACACAAGTGACGCCTTCAAAGAAAACCCTAAATCTCTTTGTAGTTTGAGAATTTTTTTTCTCAGGATTTGTTTGCATGTTAGAAGGTTAGTACATTATAAGGAATATACTCCTTTCATACAAAATTTACGCCGTTTTTTCATCAACCTTTTAACAATGTTACCGAGTCACTTTAAAACATAGATTCTCACGTTCCAGAGGAGGGAGTCGAGGAATGATGGGAAAGTTCACAATTCCTACCAGAAAAAAAAAAATCACCGTTATAATCGAATTTCTATTTTCTTGTAATTTTCTGGAATGTTTAAATTTGATAGAGCTGGAGCTTCAAATCCATCCTTCCCCTTTTTACTTGTGTGGCATTTTAAATTCAATTCAATCAAACAAAAATGATTAGCGGTTGAATGCATACGCCGTTCTGGTTACAGTCTAGCTAGAAGATGAATTATTTACGTGATTTAGAATTTCATGAGTTTGGAAGTATTACAAATCCTCTCAACGAAATTTGCCCATTATTTCCATAGCAACTACAAGGTTAGAGGAAAGTGGACGCTGAAAATGAAACAAGTAAGCACAAATTGGGGGCGGGGGGGGGGGGGGGAAATAACACAAAAGCAATAAGCCTACAAGATCCTTGATGATTAAAGGTAAAGACCAGTATTGGAAACGCCCCAATTTCAAAAAATGAAATAGAAGCTCTTATTACCAATCATGTGAAAGAATATGTTTTGACTAATACATGATGATAACAAATTAGCCGGGAATCCGCCTACTAATTGATATATTTGGTAAATTAGTTTATATATTGGTATGTGAGAGATAAACGCACGTGTCGCGCACGTGTGCGTAGTTCCATATACATCTTTCTGTGTACAGTGCTTGTAACTTTACAAAGACTGGGCCAAATTTCTTATAATTTTGATGATTCCAGAACCTTGCAGTACACACCAATATTTATATGCTAGATGATCAACCTTTTCTAATCGATTCCACAACGTTTCTTTCACAATGCAATCGCATGACCATAACTGGTCTTTATCTTTAACGTGTAGTTGATGATAAAGGCCAATAGGAAATTGAAATTTGGCGATACGATGTGTCACCTTGTCATTTGCGATGATACGCGTCAACGTTGTTAATGTGTGGCGTAGATATGGGGAACACAGGGGCCCACTCCTCCCATTGAACTACAAACATCAAGGGAAAGATATAAAGATAGAGAAAGAGATAGAGAGGGCGAGAGAAAGAGAGAGAGAGAGAGAGAGAGAGAGAGAGGACGGGCAGAGAGCAAGAGAGAGAGAGAGAGAGAGAGAGAGGGTGAGAGCGAGAGAGAAAGAAAGAGAGAGCCAGAGAGGAAGGGGCAGGGAAAGAGAGAGAGAGAGAGAGAGAGAGAGAGGTGAAAAGACGTAGAAAATGAAATTGGGAGGCAATCAGAAAAGAAGATGCTTCCGGGGGAGTCGGGTCCCGTCCCCATCGAATAACGAAAAAGTTAGTAAAAAGGAATATAGAAATTAAGAAAGAGAGAGAAGGACAGAAAGAGGGGGGGGGGCAAGGTGAAAGGATAATACGACTCTTTAGAAGGTTGTATTCACTCATATTTCAGCTAGAAATAGAGAAAGAACGGTTCCCCCAGCCCCCCCCCCCCTCCAATGGCTTCGATGGCTGATCCAACAATACGCTACTATACCGTATATAATTATACGTAACCTGCTTAATTCAACCCCGTCAATAAGAGACGGATTTGAGACCTCGAATATTAGATGGAAAAGTGAGGCTTTATGTTTGGGCGTTGGTATCAATATTAATGGGATTTTAATTTGCCGGCCTTCAGCATTCCTGTAACGAGGTCTGTATCGTAGATGGTGGACGGAAAGAGACATTGCGACATATAGATTCTATGACTGGATAGTTTTATTCGACAGCAAAGAAGAGTGACAAATATTTTCGGAGCAGTAATCATGGCAGAATTAGTAGAAGTAGCAATAGTAGTACTACTACCCCTATTAGTAGCAGGAGTACTAGAAGTAGTTGAAATAATAATATTAATAGCAGATGTATTAGTAGCTTAGTGCTAGTAGTATAGAAGAGGGAGAGAGAAAGAAAGAGAGAGAGAGAGAGAGTGAGTGAGCGAGAGGGAGAGAGAGAGAGAGAGAGAGGGAGAGATTAAAATGATATTGATATGACATTAAGGGGCCTACCCAGGGTGTTCGAAGGGGCAGCGTTCCGCAATCTCCATTCACTTAAATCCATCTGTTTTTTTTTGTTGGGGGGGGGGGGGGATCAATCCCATCAGCTCTCCCAAGGCTCCGAAAGAGGGGCCATCAGAATCTTTCATCTATAAAAGGGACGATTTTTTGTTTCTGTTTGGAACATTCTTTCGGGGGGGGGGGGGGCGTTTCACCTAAACATCCAACCCCCTCCTAGACCTTCATTATCATCTTGCTTCTATAACTTGGCTGCTATCACTAAAAAGAGGTATATTTTCATAAAACTGAAGGCAAACGAAGATCGTTGATAATAATATCGAGCTAGATCAATTAAATGATGGTAATAGCATAAGTAGTAGTAGTAGTAGTAGTAGTAGTAGTAGTAGTAGTAGAAGTCGTAAAAATAACAACAATAATAACATTAATGATATATGTCCATATTTCGCCCTTTCCTCATCAGGTCTGGGAAGAAACAATAATTCTCAGAGCGTTCTTCTAAAGCAACTCTTAGATAACTATGGACCAATCACAGTCAGACCTGTGCGTGACGTCAGCCGATCTACGAATGTGACCTTCAGATTCCTTCCGGTTGAGCTCATCAAGTTTGTAAGTATATATCTTTCATTAAAAGTTAGTTTTCGTTTTCAAAAAAGGTTCAAGATGTATAGGACAGAGGGGGTGGGGGGGGGGGGTGGGTCCGGGCATTGAAAACATATAGTTGTCGTGTTTGCCGTTTGATTACATGAACAATAATCATCACACCCGAGGCGATAGACGAGGGTGTTTGGACTGTTTCGAAGGTACCGAGTGTGGGTAATTTAAATGATGAATATTATTTGTTTCATAAGATGATGTTTTATTTTTTTATAATATGAGGTTTTATAACATGATTTTACTAATGACCGGTCATTAATACAATTACGTGTTAGGCAAAATAAATGCCTGGTCACTTGTACGCTCTCTACCAATCTTTTGATTAGGATCCGCTTCATCATCTTATAATATACACTATCAAGGGTTTCAGAAGTTATGCGTTTAAACCTTTTACTAATTAATGTTTAAAATCACCTTTCCTGATATTCAACCTATCGCAACAAAAGACGTGTTGGTATACGCATAATTCTGTTAGTGAACCTGCATCAGTATTGCCTATACATTTCTCTTAATGGTTGGTGTTGTTGATATTGGGAACATTACAGAATCTCCGGAATCCACCAGACTTCCAAGTACCGTTTTTTCTTTCATTTTTATTTTGGCAGGACGAAGAAAACCAACAAGTGAAGCTGTCGGCATACATACGAATGGTAAGATTTTGTTTAGTAGATAAACTTTCTCAAAAACGTATTCAAAATTATTTCGGGTACACTGTTGGCATCTTTCTTTTATCACAGTTGACAGGTGCGCGGTATATACAGTGCGTCCCAGAAAAAACGAAACCGAGAACTATCGATGTTTTATCATACCTTAGTCACATTTATAATTAAGAAATGACACATATTTGGAAAGCTTAGATCTTCCTCTTTAATTTGATGCAACTCACATGATGCATATTTCACGCATGAGTGATTACAGTCAGTTTGAAGAGAGAAAACCAAAAAGTTGTTTGGCGGACGGTATCTGAATTTCAAAGAGAAAATTACATTTCTAGAAAGTTGAGTTTCTGCTCTTTCATATGGAATAACAAAGTTCTGTTTGTTTAAATTAGTGCTTGCATTTCCATAATTTTATCAAACGAATTCGTTTTCACTGGCTGCCTGCCGTAGCAAAAAGCAGAATTGACAAAAGACTTAACTCCGTTTCGTAGACAATCTTCCATGCATAAAGTCTTTCGTCAACGGCTGATTGCTAACGAAACGGAGTTAAGTCTTTTGTTAATTCCGTTGTTGCTACGGCAGGAAGCCAGTGAAAACGAATTCGTTTGATAAAATTATGGAAATGCAAGCACTAATTTAAACAAACAGAACTTTGTTATTCCTAGCTCATTTTTCATGGTTGAGGTGTCATATGAAAGGGCAGAAACTCAACTTTCTAGAAATATGATTTTTTTTCTTTGTAATTCAGATACCGTCCGCCAAATGACTTCTTGGTTTCCTCTCTTCAAATTCATTTAAATCACTCATGCGTGAAATATACATTATATGACTTGCATCAAATGAAAGAGGAGGGTCTAAGCTTTCCAAATATGTGTCATTTATTAATTGTAATTGTGATTAAGTTATGATAAAACATTGATAATTCTCGGTTTCGTTTTTTCTGGGACGCACTGTATAGTCTTGATCTATTGTTCCTTTTAAATGTTCACATACATGTGCAATCATGAGCGGTGCATCACCATATCTGCCACATGTATCTTTTAAACCAAGTGGAACAACTATTCCCAACAATTATGACGACACAGTGGCTTTAGCCCCTATCGAATTAAAAACATGAACAGGAAAGAGAGAAAGGGAGAGGAGGAGGGCAACGTGAAAATAAATTCATAGGCCCTCTTCAACGCCCCCCTCATTCAATTTCTTGGTGGTTTTATTTTATCCTCGACTATCCGTTGGTATATATGCACCTAATATTATTATCATTATTTATGTTACTATTATCATTATTATTTGTATTATCATTAATTATTTATATTATTGTTATTTTCATTATTATTATCAATATTATTATTATTATTATTATTATTATTATTATTATTATTATTATTATTATTATTATTAATTGCATATTCACGTTTTTTTTTAAATTCAGATATGGACGGATGAGAACATGATATGGGATCCCTTGGATTTCGATGGCGTCGATTACGTGACCGTAAAAAAAAACGATGTCTGGCTTCCCGACATCTGCCTCTATCAAAAGTAAGATGACGCCATTATTAAAGGCATCGTTTAACAATGTTAAATCTGAGATGCAGGCCCTACGTGTTATCAGTGTCTTTGATATGGTGTTATATTGAAGCCCTAAAAAAAAAATTCGCGCTTCAAAATGATCAAGAAGTGCCTCAAAAAAAGTAAAAATCTGTGAATGACCGTTTTTTTTTACCATACTCGTTTCCCCCAATAGACTGTAGTGTTATGAAAAACCGTTAGGAAAACTCAAAAGTGGGTATTAATTTCCAATCATAAATATCCTGATAATTAGAGAGGCGATCGGCTTGTAAAAGTCATGGAGTTTCTGAATGACCTAAAGGTTTATAACTATCATTGCAGCATGAGCTAAATCCAGGATTTTGTTTCAGAATCTGAAACAAAGTTACCGGATCCCTATAAACATCTGTTTAAATCTTACTTCAGGCCCATAAAACGTAGGGGTTCTGGGGTTGGAGCGAACCCTCCTACCCCTCGATACCCCCCTACCCCCTTCCCCTACATAATATTAGGACTACCATTACAAATATATATATTTTGCTCGTCACTTTAGGGGAGAAAAGGGGACGAATTTCATCAACTCCGTTTGTTTAAACATACGTGCATGTACTGTCCTTTCAGCACATTAAGAGAACCGATGTTGACTTTGTTTTTGAATGAGTAAATTGTCACGCACATGTATTATTAGAAAAGCCAAATACGCGATCGGCTTCTAGCGAACGGTCGTAGATATGATTATGGGGACGTATATTTTAAAGACATAAAGCATTTGGAAAAGCCTAATACGAGACCAAACAACAACAAACTGACAAGAACCAAAAAAGTTATCATTTTGTTTCCACGAGTCATTTGGCTCCAAACATCGAAATTTGGGTAGGGAAACCTTTCTTTTGTGTACTTAACGCTTGCAACACTGCTTTGAAATGGGTACATGCTGGCCGGTTGTGCCCTCATAAACTATTGGCCTCATAGTCCCAATCCACTATGGTTCTTACTCCATCACAGGTGTTATGGTCAAGTGAATACGCTGCCGGACTGTCAATCACAAGGTCCGCGGTTCGAGTCCCGCCGCGGCACTAATGTCCTTTGGCAAGACATTGATCTACATTTGCCACTCTCCACCCAGGTGTTAAATGGGTACCCGGTAGGATGCGAAAGCCAATGTGATATGCTTAGCAATTTGGGCGTAGTAGCTCTTGTTGGAATGCTCCCCAGGGAGTGGAGAAAGTGCATACATTGTGTGCGGGCAAGCCAGAATCCGATGACCGGGGTAATAATGTAAAGCGCTTAGAAACTCGGACATTCCCGACGTGCATGTATTAAGCGCTTTATAAGCAAAAATATTATTTTTATTGTTATCATTATTATCACAGTGTCGTCAAGGATTTCATCAGCTACGCAGATACTTACATTGTCGTGTCGAGCAACGGCACCATGGACTGGTACGTCCCGGTCATCATAGCCACTTCCTGCCCCATCGATATCACCTATTTCCCCTACGATGTGCAGCACTGTAACCTGACCTTTGGCCCCTGGACACTTAACACAGACAGGGTGAGACATAGCCTTTTGACAAGGCCTCGTGACTCTGACTATTTTGCATCCTAAACAGCGGCTGGGATGAGTCTAGATACTGAACGCGCGACCGAGTGGCGCTAGCCACGAGGCCTTTTGCAATCTAGATTTTACTGCTCTGTATGAATTATTCATTACTTTGGATTTATTGACCAATCAGAACGGCCATCTTCCAGTTGGCTTCGTTTGTGATTCGTTCATTATCAAAACATGTAAGAAAAGGTAAAAGACGTAAATAAGTCTTGTTATATGAGACATATTGCTCCGTTTATTCTCATTTCACAACGCCCCCTATCGTCAGAGCATCGTCAGAGTCAGCAGCCTAACATGTTAGCCTATGGACGCTTAAAAAAAAAAAATCGTTAATATTTGTTTTGTTTAAACAAAAAGCACATCCACCCCGACGTACGTTATCACTAGCTCTTTCATTTGAGCCCTCATGTCTCATTGACTTTTGAAAGTTCACCCACCGTAATTTTTCAAAATAGGTTGCAAGCTCGTCATTGCCTATAATACACATGTGAAACAAGTCTAACTTTGGACTCAGTTTTCCAAGCGATTTGAAGATTATAGGTCGAGCACACAAAACATAAAAAGCATGAATTATCATAGATCACTTCTGCCTATTTCATTTTTTCCATTTCATCCAACCCCCCACCGAAATTTTTCAATTTAGTAAAAGCAAACATTTTGCCGAGGTAAGCAAAAACAAGAATATTCATGAACGGTCAGACAATACATCCTTTTAGTACGTAACGGAGAGTGAATGGGAATGGGCGATGATCCGTGTAGGAGGTAGAGGTCAGTAGTTTGTGCTGGCAATGTTCACGCGAGCGAAAATGAGACAATCGGAGCAATATGTGAACATATAAATGATAGATTCAAAATATCACATTCAAATCTATTTTACATGCAAAATTACAATACAATAGGAAGCATTTGATGACTTATGCTAACAATCATAAATGAGATAATTGGACTTTCCCTGTATATAAAATGAACCAGTCCAACTCGTTTTCGTTTCATGTAGAGGTCAGAGGTCTTAGCCCGGACGTCATTCTTAGTTCATAGTAGACCATGTACGTACTACGTAGAGTTTACTGTGCTTGTGTGTGTGTGTGTGTGTGTGTGTGATGGATACTAAAAGCTGACGTCATATGCGAGGATACGTTCGCTGATTGGACGCTACCATTTCGGTAGAGAATTCCAGTCAGAAACAAATATTAACATAAGAAATACAATCTAGATTACTAAAGGCTACTTGGCTGCGCTATTCGCTCTATCGTTCACTCGGGTTTTCGCGATTAGTCTCTTTTTAGTCGTTCGGCGTCTATCAGACATGTGGCCTTGTTTGGCTGCGCTACTCGCTCTGTCGTTCACTCGGGTTTTCGCGATTAGTCTCTTTTTATTCGCTTGGCGTCTATCAGACATGTGGCCTTGTTTAAAGGCTAGCTGCGCTACTCGCTCTGTCGTTCACTCGGGTTTTCGCGATTAGTCTCTTTTTAGTCGCTCGGCGTCTATCAGACACGTGGCCTTGTTTAAAGGCTAGGTGAGACAGGGCAGATCAAATATTTTGGACCCCTCCCACTCCCTACAAAAAGGAGGAAACAAGACAAAAGTGCACAGTTCCATATAAACTGCGCGGCTTTTTAAGATAGGCGTCACATTCCTGGATCTTATACACAGAGCTCAGTTAATTCGCACAGGGCGTTTGCGCGCGGTTTTCAATCATATTCCATATCTGAATCATCCTTTAAGGGGGCTGGGTAATATGTTTGAGAAACGCCAATTAGGTTATGAGATTGGAAACGGCCGTTTGTGGCATTATGAGGTTTTCTGGCTTTCAACGACATGGGCGTCAATGTGAGAGGGTGAGGGGGAAAGGGCGGGGAGGAGGGTAGCATCCAGTGGCTGATCCAGGATTTGCTGATAGGGGGGGGGGGGGGGCTAAAATTCGAAAATCGTGCCTACCAATATTGCGCTCAGTGGGGGGGGGGGGGGGGAGGAGTGGGGGTAGTGAGCATAATTTTTTTTCTCGTTTTTGTCCCTGAAAATTTGGAAATTAAAACTTCCTAACAAGTCATGAAATTGATAATTGTTTAATTGCATATCAAACAAGTTAAATCTTCCTGGGCCGCCAACTAAAAATCAACGTTTATTGCGTTTATCAAAGTCAAGTTTGAAATAAAGAACTGTCTACCATACATGAAAAGAACAAAATCCCAACCAAATTTGCAAACAAATGTGTGTGTGTGTGGGGGGGGGGGGTGTGGTGTGCGTGCGTGTGTGTGCGTGTGAGTATGTGTGTGTGTGTGATAGATAATATAATCAATAATATAACAAATAATTCAATGTTAATAATCACCCGTCACTGTAACATACAAATAATGATTAAAAGATCTGAAATAAAAATCCTTGGAGTTCATTTCTTCACCATGACCGGCGCAACGAAATAAACACAAATAATGCGTATAATGGCATTGCGTTAAAATGACGCTTTGCTTGGCAACGAGAATATCATATTATGTAGTGTGTAAGAGAAGTAGGAGACCGAAAATGAGACGGAGACAACTAATCACAAAGTACACTATCCTGAAAATGTCTGTCAGGCACTCCCTCAATGAGATGAGAAATTATTCTTACAATGATCAAAGCTACCGCCTGCTGAGTTTACAAACCTGGACGATAACTGCAAAAGCATACTGCTCATTTTCCAATTCGAGTTGTTTGAAAGTTGTAAAACCTTATTTATTCCTTCAATAATATTGTTCCAGGTCCGTTTTCAAATTTCAACCGACGACGATGCCAATGTGAACTTATTCCATAAAAATGGAGTCTGGATACTGGAAAAGACAACATCCAGAAATCAGATCGTTGAATTATGTTGCTACAATATCTCTTTGTCCTCAGTCCAGTTTATCCTGCAAATCCGCCGTGAATCGAGTAAGTATACATTCTAATACCATAATTAGGCCAAATACATTAATAAATCCATTGATTAATTCATTCATGTATGCATTCATTAATTCATCATTCATTCATATATTCATTCATTCATTCATTTATTCATTAATTCATACATTCATTCATTCATTTATTCATTCATGCATCCATGCATTCATTCATTCATTCAACCAAGTCATTGGTCCAATGTTCATTTAAACATGTAAAATTGTTTTGCTGAAATCAACAGGTTCAAGTATAATTTTCGCATTAAAATATTTATTTTGGTTAAAAAAATTTTTAAGCTAATCTTTTTTTTCACATACTATTGAAAACACCACTTAATTAATTCCTTCTTTCTCGTCACTTCCTTCTTTCCCTTTTTGGCCCGCCTAATTTTGTTATATTTGAAGAATTTGAGGGCATCTAAACCTAAGGGTAGTTAACAAAAAATCATTAATTTATAGCAATATCTTTTTGAGCGTGTGTAGTGCATATATTCAGATAAAATTACTTTCAATAGAAATGTGCTAGCATTGACTCAATGGTAAAAAAAATATGAAATATCAAGTAAAATATGATGAATATTGAAAAAGGTTATATTTGCATATATAAACAGAGTACATTTGTATATTTGAGTAGGGTGCAATTGCGGACTCAAACCGGGTACATTTCGATATATTCGTCACAAATGCAGGTTTCTACACTCGTACTGTCGTTGTCCCATGTATTCTCCTGACGGCGTTGATGGCGCTCGTCTGTTGGCTTCATCCAGCGTCTGGTGAGAAGGTGACCTTGGCGGTCAGTAACCTTCTGGCATTGATCCTCTTCCAGCAGCTCGTGGCCGATAGACTGCCACCAAGCGGTGAGACTACGTCCATCATTGGTAAGAAGAGACGGCATGAGTAGAAACACAAGTTTTCGTTTTCTAATTACGGTGTACGTCGGTATGGAATAAAATCTGTTAGTAGACCTACATGTCCTTTGAAAAGAATTGTTCATCAAAATAATGCCCTCATAATTATTCGAAATAGCCTATAACAAAAAAAAATGAACAAAACTGAAATTCACTTTGTCCCATTTCTGTTTGCAGTGCATTAAAAAAAAAAAAAGCAAGATTCGTTTTTGTTTTACGCCCCCCCCCTTAGAAAAGTTACTTATTCACGTGACACCCTCTTCTCATCCTACAGTGATTTTCTTCACCGTGATGATTGGGTTGAGCTGTGCAGAGGTGGTCTGCTCCATCATTGTCCTGCGACTCTACCATACCGGTGGAAGGCGGCAGATACCCAACTGGTTGAGACGCACGATGCTTCACCCGTTCATCATGCGTCTCTACACGAACGCAGAGTGTACCGCCATGTTGCGTGCCGAGGATAAGGCCAACGAGTAAGTAAAGCCCGATGCCAGTGAAAGATCATTGACAATTACTGTCCTATTTACGGACAGGTTATCCCGGAAAAATGCCCCTTGGACAAATCTATCTCCCATTAAAATCACCCCTTAGGTCAGTAGTACTGATAATATCAACGCATGTTCATGTAGTATTTCATTTTTTGTTGTCAAGGGGGTGTTTCATCAACTCAAATTGATTTCGATCTTGAAAAACAATTTCAAGACCGAGTCAATTCTAGGCTGTTATTGGATACCCATCAAGTTTAAGAACAATTTTAAGGCTTTAATCTGTATGAATTATGTTCTTTCCTTTTCAGACTCCTGATTATGAATTCACTGAGTAATCCGACTCAACAAAACAACACCATCATCTCAACACAAAACCAAGAAAACGGGATGTACGAGGAAAAGAAAACAAACGGTGTCGTCCAAACCATCAGCCAACCGCCGGAAGTCGACACTGTGAGCATGCGCTATGACCTGGAAGTGGTTAACCGGACGTGGCAGGAAGTGGCCATCGTCTGCGACAAGTTCTTGTTTATTCTTCTGCTACTGGTCACTTTTGTCGCTTGGTTGTATCTTCTTGTTAGCTTTCTGACGATGAAACAATGGTAACAGGCAGGAGAAGATGAGAATTACCTCATGATAATATACCCTTGCCTACGTTGTAACTGTAATAAGTTGTCAAGAAATATTAGTTTTATGCGACGCATTCAGTATCTCTTGCCTAAGCAAGTACTAGTAATGATTTAAATTAATCCCTTTTAACCTCACATTGACTCCTGCAATATTAATAGAGTTCAATAATTGCAAAAGCGCTATGCGAGACTTATGCTACATGCCTATTTGTGTAAAAGTGGCAAAATGCCTGGGTATCATGATAGACGAGGAGTTACGTTGGGCGGAACATGTGGAAAAAGTTATAAAAACTGCTCAAAAAATACAAGTGTAATTGAGCGAGCCAAACGTTATGTTCCAACAAGATCTCAGAAACTTCTATATAATGCCATCGTACTTCCTTAATTTGATTATTGTTCCTCGGTTCTATCAAGACGTCACCTACTTTGAACATTTTTAAACACAATCTAAAAGCCCTGTTATCTGCAGATGACATGTAAGTTAACCTTTGGGTTTTTTTTCGTGCGAAGCTAACCAATTTTTCCTAATTGCAAAATTACTAAAGGTTGATATGGTTAACCCTATATCCTGCATACATACATGTAATTTATCCATTTTCAGATACCTTGTAAACAACCTACGTGTATAAGTTAGAGAGCAATCGAATGTAAATATGTACTTGCTCTCGGTTCCCAGGAGTCGTACACGCTTTGGGGATCGATCTTTTTCTGTTTCCGCACCACGTCTCTGGAACAATCTCCCTCAGGCTGTACGATCTTCTCCTTCTCTCGCTATCTTTCAACGTTCCTTGAAAACCTTTCTCTTTAATAGTTGAATTTATATATTTTTGTGTACGTAATTTTATTGTTTGCTATCAATGTCAATTAAGTAATGTAATGTTGTAAAGCGCTGTGATACACATGTATGTCTGTAAGAGCGCTATATAAATGCCAATATTATTATTATTATTATTACAGTATATAACAATGTTGGTATCCCGTGCCCGTGTGTTAAGCTTTATCAGATTAGTAAAAATGTATGTTTTCAATCATTTTGTTGACTTTCTTTTAAATACGTGGTTATCATCTATTCTTCATTTTTTTCTCCATAGTTGAATTTAATTTCTATTAAAATTGAAAATTCCATACACACATTTCTTGTAATGAATCAAGTATAATTATTGAATGATCAGTTATTTCATGAGGATACCAATACATTTGTACTTCACCTGTTCATATGCTTGTGTATTAATCTGTTGTTTTTGCTGCTGTTATTTTGTTTTATTCTTACCAAACAGGGCCTCATTGAAGACCACCAAATTGGTGATATTTCCCACCCTGTATAAATATCTGAAATAAATAGATAAATATCATCTTTACTTTCTTTCACGAGGCGATGTAAATACTTTACCATTATAAATGCACTCGCATCCATTTTATCGTATCAAATTTGAATATAATATTTTGGTAAACAATCTTTAGGAGTTAAGATTTATTTCCGTTCTTTTAAATCTTAACCTTGTATATTTCGTATTATATTTTCAATGTTTTATGTAATGTTGAAATGTTTGAAGGTATTCATAATTGTACAGACGTGGCCGGGCTATATTTGTTATTGAAAGGGCTACCCTGAATAAAGAAGACTTGAATAAAACAAATAAATAAAATATAGCTTTCTAATGATGTAACCATGACAACACTGAGGGCAACAAAACTGAAGTGTGATCAAGGATCATGGTGAAGTATAATACCTTGGTATGATTTGTCCCCCCCCCTTTGATGTCACCGACCTATTGGAAGTTATGTAAAGGCCAATATGACGAGAGACGAATTATTTTGTGTATGCTATTCCAACGGTAAAAAACATAGAAGAAAATTATGACGCAAACACGATTCGCAAAATACAAACATTTTCAGTTGAATGTAAAGAGTGTTCGTATAATTTTTCTCTTATTGTAGTGCACTTTAATACTAAATTTTTACAAAATTACAGCAATTTCTAGATTAATCATCGTTTTCAATTCAAAGTCTGACGATATTAATGTCAGTCAGACACAATTTCGGAAAACCGAGCATTCCGAAATCGGCGTAAGACACACGATGAATATAGACAAATATATTGTTAAGTCATAATGCTGTTGATACATTGTAATGCTTGTAATGCTTGTAACAAAAATTACCTAATTTCCTGCCAGTAATTTACAATTTCTGTAATTTCTGTAATCTCTTTCATGTCTTCTGTATCATTCTATGTCTCTCTCTCTCTCTCTCTCTCTCTCTCTCTGTTTCTCTCTCCCCCTCTCACTTTATATCACATAAAACCCTCCATGTTTGTAATTATAAGACCGCAATACAGGTACTATGTAATATACATTTTCAAATTTACAATGACATTGTATGTAATATGCTTCTTAAGTTTGATGAAAAATAATGTTGTACCGTGTATTTGCATATATTTTACTACATTCTTCATATTACCATTAGGCTGTCTCTCACTTTATATCACATATAACCTTCCATGTTTGTAATTATAAGACCACAATACAGGTACTATGTAATATACATTTTCAAATTTACAATGACATTGTATGTAATATGCTTCTTAAGTTTGATGAAAAATAATGTTGTACCGTGTATTTGCATATATTTTACTACATTCTTCATATTACCATTAGGCTGTTTCTCACTTTATATCACATATAAACCTCCATGTTTGTAATTATAAGACCACAATACAGGTACTATGTAATATACATTTTCAAATTTACAGTGACATTGTATGTAATATGCTTCTTAAGTTTGATGAAAAATAATGTTGTACCGTGTATTTGCATATATTTTACTATATTCTTCATATTACCATTAGTTTGTGAACGTACACTATTTGATACTTTTCCACAATAATTACAGCCTCTTTCAGTCTCTAGTTGTGTCAAGCACAGAGTCTAGGTGTGAGTAGACCGTGCAATCGGCAACATCTCTTAGTTCAGACATTCTGGCGCACGTTACTATGACATACATGGGTTTGTGCTATGGGCCATCTACGAATAAGGGGTTTACAAATACAATCTGCGCATGGGCAGATAAAGGTAATTTGTACCAAAATGGTAAAACCCACAGAGACGAATGCTGGATATGTGATCATGAAAGTTATGTAACATGATTCATTTATGCACCAACGGTACATTCTATGATACGCAGGTGGAAGTATTCTTTTCAAGAGGTCAAACAAAAGGTATTCATGAAGCTCATCTAGGACTTTGGCAGTTATTATTCTAAGATGCTCAATGAAGTGGAACTTCTCCATGTGTAAAAGATCTGTGGATATTTGGGGTCATTTGTACCATGTGCTATCTTTAAACTCCCTTATTGGTCTATTCATCATGAAGCTGTAGTAGTACATTTCTGACTTCTTATTTTAAGTTATAATATTTCCATTTTATTTGATATAAATAAAAAAATGTTAATAGTTAATTGTCCTTCTCCAAACATGATTTGTTTTGAAGAAAAGGGAAAAGGAATCAGTGCGGTCTTCAGTATTAGGGACATTAAAAGAATGTCACAGTACCTTAAAACGACGTCACACGTAGCAGTCCTCTATCTCGAAGGGCAAATCTAACATTTCATATAGTTACCGCAGGCTGAGCTGCTGGTTCAAGTTGAGGCAATAGTGGGTGTCGAATTTCAAAAAAATAAACAAAGAAAAACAATCGCATTTCATCAGACCCTGATGTGTTTAAAGGGGTAAATATACGGAGGGGCGGTTTTTGTGTACTTTGAAATGCATATTGGGGTTTGGCAAGGGGCAGGGGGCATACCCTCCACCCCTTGAATACTGCACTGTCGGGCATTTGTATCATTTCATGTTCTTGACAGAAGATGAATGTGACCATATTTCCATGATGTGGCAAAAATATTGGCAAAAATATTTTGCTCAAATCTAAAAATATCTAACAGCTAATTTGGATTAAGCGAACAATATGTCAAAGGTGTCGTCAGGCTAAGCTGTAGATATAAAGACGCATTTCAAGAAGAACTAGGAGAGAGAGAGAGAGAGAGAGGGAGGGGGAAAGGGATACAGAGAGATAGACAGAGAAAGAGAGAAAGAGAGAAAGAGAGAGAGAGAGAGAGGGGGAAAGGGATACAGAGATATAAACAGAGAAAGAGAGAAAAAGAGAGAGAGAGAGGGGGAAAGGGATATAGAGAGATAAGCAGAGAAAGAGAGAGAGAGAGGGGTACAGAGAGAGAAAGAGAGAGGGAGGAAAAAAAAAGATACAGAGAGAGAGAGAGACGGGGGAGGTGTTGGAGGGACAGTGACAATACGAATAGAAAACATTCTCACCCCGGACTTCTTAGTTCATATTCTTCGGTATACCCATTCAGCCCGGTACCCTCAATTCACGATAATACCCCCCCCCCCCCCCCTCTAACGATTATAACGATCGGGCCTCATTTTAAAGCTGTTACTTATCATATTTAGAACATGAAGGCATTTGAAGAGCCATGCTTTTTTTTCTGTCTCTGATGTTTTCCACATTTGTATAATAACAAGGATAATGCTCACAAGTTATTGTTTACCTCTCCCCAGAACCAGAACTCAACCTTCCCTTTAAGGTTGCGTATGTTGATCCTCCCTGAGATTTTTTATCTTTGACGACAATAACACATGTATGTCCTATCCCATTCCTAACACTATATTTGTTAAATGAAATTAAACAAAATATACCATAATAATTTAAAGACAATAATGCATCACAATGAAGGCGGAATTCAAAGAATCTGACTTTCTTTGAAAACAAAACAAAAAAGTTAAAGATTTCAAAAGAAATGATCTTAAAGATAAAATGAAAAAATGAGTCTATTTGCAGAAGTTACAAACTAATTGATCATATTGTTCTGTTTAAAAAAAAAGTCGACTTACATTTGTATTTATTATTATATATTACCATACAAATATTTCACCACAATTTCTGAACAACTACAATGACAAAGGTGGAACCAAATCAAATTACCTTGATTGCGATAGGCAGTGTGATCTTGTATGCAATGCATGCACATAGAAACAGGTAACAGAAAGCCGTGCTGTTGCATATAGTTCTTATCGTAAATAGCCTTTGTCGCTGGTTGGCGCCCTTCGCGCAAAGGCCTCTGGGATAGAAAAGGGAGCAAACACGATCCCGGCTTTCGGAAAGCCCAACGCCATACGTTTTGTGTACAGTAGTACTACCTGAAGTCCAAGCTATTTTTAATCAAATTTTCTGCTCTTTCAGCCGCAGTTTGTAAACGATTTGATACTCATACCCAGAGCTACAGAAATAATCTTTGTTTTGTGGTTCTTCACTGCAATCATGGCAGACGGAGCTCGTCGGTTTTTACAGTTTTCAGCCACTGAACTCAAGAAGTTTTTGAGGGATAGGCGCGTACCATTCAATGATGAAAAGCACGCTGAACTTGCTGAAAAAGCCTACTTGGCAGAAAAGCTTGATTTGCAAGTACCCAGATAACAATACGGCGTTGGGCCAACGTCGGCCATGGTCGGCAGGGTCGCAGTCGGCAAGCCAACGTTGGCTAATCGTTGGGCCATCGTCGCCATTCTTTACTGATTAATGGTGGCAATTGGTTGGCTCATTCGACGTTGAGCCAATGTTGGCTGAACGTTGGTCCATTGTCGCCATTTTCACTGATAAATGGTGGCTATTGGTTGGCTATTCGACGTTGGGCCAATGTTGGCTGAACGTTGGTCCATTGTCGCCATTTTCACTGATAAATGGTGGCTATTGGTTGGCTATTCGACGTTGGTCCAATGTTGGCTGAACGTTGGTCCATTGTCGCCCTTTTCACTGATAAATGGTGGCTATTGGTTGGCTATTCGACGTTGGGCCAATGTTGGCTGAACGTTGGTCCATTGTCGCCATTTTCACCGATAAATGGTGGCTATTGGTTGGCGCTTCGACGTTGGGCCAATGTTGGCTGAACGTTGGTCCATTGTCGCCATTTTCACTGATAAATGGTGGCTTTTGGTTGGCTATTCGACGTTGGGCTATTGTTGGTTTAATGTTGGTCCATTGTCGCCATTTTCACTGATAAATGGTGGCTTTGGGTTGGCTATTCGACGTTGGGCCAATGTTGGCTAAATGTTGGTCCATCGTCTCGATTATCACGGATAAATATTGGCTATTGATTGGCTATTCGACGTTGGGTTAACGTTGGTCCATTGTCGCCATTTTCACTGATAAATGGTGGCTATTGGTTGGCTATTCGACGTTGGGCCAATGTTGGCTGAACGTTGGTCCATTGTCGCCATTTTCACTGATAAATGGTGGCTATTGGTTGGCTATTCGACGTTTGGCCAATGTTGGCTAAATGTTGGTCCATCGTCTCAATTATCACTGATAAATGTTGGCTATTGGTTGGCTATTCGACGTTGGGCCAATGTTGGTTGAACGTTGGTCTATTGTCTCATTTATTACTGATAAATGTTGGCTTTTGGTTGCCTATTCGACATTGGGCTAACGTTGGCTCATTGTCGCCATTTTCACTGATAATGGTGGCTATTAGTTGGCTATTCGACGTTGGGCCAATGTTGGCTGAACATTGGTCCATTGTCACTATTTTTACTGATAAATGGTGGCTATTGGTTGGCTATTCGACGTTAAGCTAAAGTTGGCTCAACGTAATTGGTCCATTGTCGCCATTTACACTGATAAATGGTGGCTATTGGTTGGCTATTCGACGTTGGGCCAATGTTGGCTGAACGTTGGTCCATTGTCTCAAATATTACTGATAACTGTTGGCGTTTGGTTGGCTATTCGACGTTAGGCCAATGTGGGCTGAAAGTTGGACCATCGTCTTAATTTTAACTTATAAATGTTGGCTATTGGTTGGCTATTCGGCGTTGGGCCAATGTTGGCTTCATGTTGGTCCATCGTCTCAATTTTTTTTTTAAATGGTGGCTTTGGGTTGGCTATTCGACGTTGGGCTAACGTCGGCTGAACGTTGGTCCATCGTCTCAATTTTAAATTTTAAATGTTGGCTTTTGGCTGGCCATTCGATGTTGGGCCAATGTTGGCTGAACGTTGGTCCATCGTCTCAATTATTACTGATAAATTGTGGCTGTTAATTGGCTATTCGACGTTTGGCTATTAACGTTGGCCCAATGTTGGTCCATCGTTTCAAATTTTACTGAGAAATGGTGGATATGTTGGCTAATATACGCGACGTTGGGCCAACCTTGGCTTAACGTTGGTCTATATCGTCTCCATCTTTACTGATAAATAGTGCATGTATTGGTTGGCTATATGACGTTGGGCCAACGTAGCAAATACGACCTAGTACCGCTACATCCGGGTAAAAAAAAATTGCATGCGTGCGCATGCCCATGTGCTCATGCAATTGCAACGTACGTCAGCCATATCCTGTCCATTTGTCTGGATCAGTTGCCGGGGAGTACCAACACTGCATGGTAAATGAATGATTTTCTTTCTCTTTCAACGTTATTTTTGTGAGCATGTCGCGTGAAACTGATAAATTGTATAGTGTGAGAACTCCCCGTCACAAAGCGAGGGAAATAGCATGAGAAATTGTTAAAGTAATCATTGATAATTCCCTGTCCAAAGTGAAAGTGCATGAGTACGAGTGTACCGCTCGGAAGTGTGAGTGATGGCTATGATGGCTATGATGGGGGCCGAAGTGTCGGCATCAGATGCATTGAGTGTTTGCCGTGATAAATGTTAATATGTTCCTGACTTAGAGTTAGACCTAGATGATGTATTGATGCATCATGTTGCAGCGTCCGTGACAGTGATGATGTTCATCCCAATATGCATATCGACCATGAATCAAATGATTGTGAATCTGTTGGTGTTACAAGTGTTGAAGGTGCTGATGCATTGTTGGAAAGACCTATTGAATCAAATAGAGCTGAATGGGAAGACGCATCATTTTTTTATGCATATCTAAATGATATTATAGTCTCTGATACTTTCAGATTTAGAAGTAGGTCTATACTATACTCTGTAGTAGCTCAATATAGACCCTATGCTGATGATGATTCAGTTCGAAAAGGAATAAATTACGAGATTGGGCTGTGAATTAAGATATCCCGCTAGTACATGTTTCTAGCCTCCTGAAATCTTACAAGGGAGTGTGCCAAGTCTACCAAAATATGCAAGAACTTTGTACCAACACATTTAGTGGATTGTGAGTGTGATGTGAAAGAGGTAGCTGGTGGGAATTACCCTCATCTTGGCATTTGCAATCATTTAAAGTCGCAATTGGCCAAGAACCTCAATTTGATCAAATAGTAAATGGGAAAAAATATTGGGGGTAGGGGTAACACTGATCGATCCCATAATTTTCATTCACAATTTGCATTCACAAATTTGATTATTGCTGCATTTTTATTCTCATTTTCAAATTAGTTTGTATTGTTTATGCACATGTATATTAAATTGCTATAATTTGAACTGAAGGTAAATATTCTAATTATTTATTTTTAAAATTCTGACGTTCTTTATTAATACATTCAATTCTATATAGCTCTTCCAAATCCCAATACTTTTTTCTCCCATAATCCCTACAATTCTGAAATTTAAATATGAAATCCTGCATTTCATATCGTCAACTTTACAACAAATTCCAGATTCCTCTACCCGTTCAGATCCAGCTACCCCTACCTCGATCATCCAGAACAGCATCAACAGCACCGAGGACCCCTTCGACATCGACCCCATCAACCTCCAGAACACTGTCGACCCCAACGACCCCATTGACCTCAACATTCAGAAATATGGGTATGTCATTTGGCATTTTATTCATTTTGTATTTAGTTATCCATGTAGACAGGATAGCACTTCTTGGTATTCGTTATAGTTGTGCCCTGCACACAAAGTACAAATGTACTGGATTAATGTACGTTTGTGTAGGACATAGCTGCTAACGGATGCTAGTATTTTTTTCCTGATTATATTGAGAAACTGCATTGTGATCACTTACAAAACTATTCAACAACAACAAATCTTGAAATACTGCTTATAGCAGTATTTTTTGGGAAACAATTCTGAATGCAGGGTGCTACAAAAAACAAAACACAGTCAATTGATTTGTTTCTTAAGCAACTAACGATATAGCTTTGTGTTTTTGTTTCTACTTTGAAGCCCCTCGAGCTCTCTCAAGTATTGGGAGCTTACATAAATACAAAAAAAAGTATTGGGAGCTTCACATTTCACTTCAATGTCATAATGATGTGAAAGAAAATGCCACTCTTCTTCAAAAATTTGTCCTAAAAATTAGAAAGAATACAAACTTACTAAGGGTTTTGTGTTGTATGCAGAAAACGCAAATTTTGTATTATTTCATCCATATTCTACTTCAAACACATTTGTTAGGGCAATATTCTATTTGCAAAAGTGTCCGGGTGTTAATGACATCCTCTTTTACATCATACCATTTAAGTGAGGTTGTGCCATCTATTCTTTGGCTAATTTTGGGATCCAACACTTAAGAGGGGCTTTAAACTGTTATCAATCAAGCATCTCAACACTGAGCAAACAGATACTATAAATTGGTTCTTTCTATTGAAGAATATTACTGCCATTTTACCTCAAATGTATATTTCCTTTGTTAAGAAGAGTGTTTGATGCTATTCTAATTAAACAAGACAAAATAAAAGAAATCCATTCCTTTCTAATTTCCATACGTCTGGGTCATTCGCTCTAAAGTTTGAACGAAGTTATTTTCATGACAAGGTACTTCTATCCATGAAATTTCATCAAAACTAGGGAGGATGTGCCACTCAGGACTACTTCCCTTGAATGCCGTACTATTTGATTAATATCCGTACTATTTCAAGGTGATGTTTCCATGATCTGCTTTTAAATCTTGTTTGGTTTCTTTCTTCTTCTTTTTTTTTGCCGCAGATGTCGAAGTTGTACCACCACAAGCTAGACAAGATTTTGATTCCGACTAACCCGTTCTTTAAAGGTCCATTGCCTTAGGAAATTAAAACTTTTATGTCTTGTATCAAGACCCTTTTAAAGCAACATAATAACAATTGTTTCATAAATAAATGCCTCCTTATATTTTTTACAATTTTTTGAAAACCTCTCCAAGTTGCTCGTCTAATGGTGGACCCCGCCCCTTACAATTCTCAGAGTTCCTCGGAATGATTGACCACAGGATTAGTGATGTTATATCAAGAACGATCTCCGCTTAGGCAAGCTACGGTGCTTGCTAGCCAGCTCTGCAGGCATTATGTTTTGTACACAAACATAAACAATAACTTTTGTTATTAAATAGTGTGCTATGCATCTTTACTTGTTATTTATTGTGGTGAAATTTCACTAATGGCCCAATTTTAAAAAGAGAGCTATACCATGAGTCGAAGAAGGTCGTAATTGATTTGAATGCCTGTATAACGTGTCAACTAAATGCATGCTATAAAGAATTTCAAAGGTAAGAAAAAAATGTTTCATATATCTAAGTGACTGAATGTTTTTCGTACTACCTTCTTCTCAATTTAAAGAAATATTGAAAGTGGTATATCAGAGTGAAGAAACTTGTGTTTTTCCCTTTACAAGCTCTGCTCTTTCTTACTTCACTTTCAAATTTCCTCTCTTGTTATATAAACATTTAGCGATTGCTTTACTTCACACATTAAAGCAATGTATACTATCCCTCCTAAAAAAAAACAGTTTGTAGATGTGTTAACAATAGATATGGCGACGAAATGTATCAGCATCTCTGAAATGCCTAAGCATAACAAATGTTGGCAATTTCTCTGAATTTTATTTTTTATTTTTTATGGAACATTGTTTACATTAATTGCCTAGTTTTTGGTATGCAAATGGTGGACACTTTATTAATTTCTTTATATTTTTGTGCTGTACATATGTAGAGGAATCTTGTCATAAGCAATCGTGTTCGTCTGCCAGAAAGTTTGTTTTGTTTTACTCGGGAAGTTGTGAGGATTGTTTATTATATTCGTACAATGAATTTCAGTATGTTATGTTGTGTTACGTGTAAGCGACAATTCATTTTATAACAGCTCCTATTGTCCTAGCATTCATTGATAGTAGGCCTATATTGTGACACATTGAGATACCTTGAACTTGAAACTATGTTTACATCTTTTTCGAATTCAAACGAAAATACAAAAGAAAGATGCACAATAATTGTATTCACATTTACAACAGTTTGTTTATTACACATAAAATAAAGTATGTTTTATCACAAAATCAGTTTATTTTCCTTGTTCTTTTGTTTTGGAGGGAGGGGGATGTATTCAGAGCAAATTCTAAGAAGCACGATGGTGAACTTTTCATTAAAATGGGACAAATAAGTTGTTATCAAGTTTTGATAGTGATTAAAATGTACAAGATAATAGACATGACGAAATTAAAATAACATGTCCCTCTTGCTTCAATATTGTTATTATACATATCTTCCAGCGGGATCTAGGTCGAGTTCTATAATGAACTTTTCTAAAATTCAGTCTAATTTTGATGAAATTGTTACTATCTTAATTTTGTGGATTTTGCTCTGTTTATTTATTTAATCCAATCTTAAACTACTTGGCTTTTCCTTGTCACGTTGTGATGCATGTGTTTGAATGATTGTACATGTCCGATGTAGTATGATCTTGACGATGTTCTTATGAACGGACGACTGATGTTGGTGTGAATATGTTTTTGAGTTGGTGTTGGTAATGTCAGAAGAATGTTGGCATGAACTGGAAAGGGGAGGTACAACGTCGGCACATGGTGGGATACGGGTTGGCATAACGTTGCTTCTACGTCGGCAAATGGTGGAGAAGAGGTTGGCATAACGTTGGTCTAGCATTGGCACATGGTGGAGGAGGGGTCGGCACTTGGTGGGAAAAGGGTTGGCATTATGTTAGGACAACGTCGGGGAGACGTCGGCACATATGGTGGAAAAGGGGTTGGCATTACGTTTGTCCTATGTCGGCATATGGTGGGATAGGGGTTGACATGACGTTGGTCATACGTCGGGGGGACGTTGGCCCGATGTTGGCGTAATGTCATTTCGTCGCTGTCGAGCCAACGTTGGCCCGCCGGCAAGAAAGCCGTTGGCCCAACATCACATTGACGACGATGGCGCAACGTAACAGCCCACGACGTCGGCACATGGTGGGATAGGGGTTGGCATAACGTTGGTCCAATGTCGGAACTACGTCGGCAAATGGTTGGATAGGGGTTGGAATAACGTTGGCCCTACGTCGTGGAGACGTCGGCACATGGTTGAAAAAGGGTTGGTATAACGTTGGGCCAATGTCGAGGAGACGTCGGCACATGGTGGGATAAGGGTTGGCATAACGTTTATCCAATGTCGGAACAACGTCGGCACATGGTGGGATAGGGGTTGGCATAACGTTGGTCGTACGTCGGCACATGGTTAAAAAAGGGTTGGGACGACGTTGGTCCAATGTCGGAAAGACGTCGGCATACGGTGGAAAAGAGGTTGGCATAACGTTGGTTCAATGTCGGGAGGACATCGGCACATATGGTCGGATAGGGGTCGGCATAACGTTGGCCCGATGTTGGCTTAATGTCATTTTGTCACTGTCGGGCCAACGTTGGCCCACCGGCAAGAAAGCCGTGGGCCCAACATCATGTTGGCGACGTTGGACCAACGTAACAGCTTACGTTGGCCCCACGTTGGCGTAACGTCGTATTGTTATCTGGGTAAAGCCTTATGATGAGAAAGCTGAGAATAAAATAATTAAGTGTCAGCAGGAAAAGTTGATACTTGATGATGGTTTAATACGACTTCCAAGACCAGAGACGCTTACAAACGGTTGGGAAGATGGTCCTGCCAATCTGCCTGACATATCCCGTGATCACATTGACACCCGATACCAATACAGTTACAGTAAAGTATCGAAGCAGATTACCCAAAGTTGCTCAGTAATATCAGAGCAGAATATGTAATCTGAAACCCAGGTGACAAAGTTGCTCTGGTAATGAACTGGAACTATTGTCACCTAGGTTAGATTTATAGAACAGTAGTGAACTGTAGGATTGAGTAATTTGTGCGCCCTGATAGTACACTGGTCTGATGAGTTTTCTTTACTCCAGACTTTACCTATTTTTAATCGCATGGGCAATGAAAATATAAATGATATAAAATAAAACGCGTGCATGCTCCTCTGTGTAAGTTGTTCATGTTGTTTAATGTTCACTTATTGATTTAGATTTTGTTGGCACTGACATAACTTTTTTTAATTAACTTTTTTAAATATTTTTAGGGGGGTAGGGGCAATGCTTCATGCATGCATAAACAACGAATTAAGCAAGATCATAGCTTTAAAAGAACCTAGCGGTAAAGAGTACCAATTGATCACCAAAACAAAGGTTGTAGTGAAGTTAGGAGTTTCATTTGTTCATAGGCCGATTGTATAACATTTTAAAAGAGCTATACATTGATATTACCCCTATTTATAGACCCTCGATTAACATAAAATCGTCTTGTGAGTAGACTATTACCTCTTACTTAAATGTTATCCAGATTACGGTAGCCACAGTAACGCACTGTTCCTCTTTATCACCTGAGTATTATAGTGTCTCTCCTTCTTTCCTCGTCCCCTTCTATTCTCTCGATCCCTCATCCCCATTCTCCTTTGATTTTCCCCTGCCCCCCCCCCACCCCCCATGCACCCCTTCAGCCATTTCCCTCTCTTCGCCGTAAACCCAATCATCTTTCCCCCATCCTCTCTAAACTCGTTCTTCCGCCGGTTTGCTTGCTCATCCCTCCCCTCCTCCCCTTGCCTTACCGCTTCCCTTCTCTAGCTCTCTGTTTACCACTCTCTCCTTCTTTTTTCTCTCCCCTTTCATTCTCTCCTTCCTCATTCTCCTCCAACTTTCGTCTTCTACCTTTAATTCGCTCTTATCCGTTAATCCCAGTTTATCCAATCCTTTCCCCTAGTTCCTTTACTCCCTTTTCCCAAACCTTCATCAACTCATTCTCCAGTCGGCCTGCTTATTCCGCCACCCGCCCCCCCCCCTCCTCAATCTTCCTTCCCTCCACCCCGCACGCGCTCTTTCTCCCTCTCTCTTTCCCTTCACTATCCTGCGCTAGCTCTTCTTATTTCCCCTCATTTCCTAAACGCTCCACGGAGTATACGCCCTTATTCCCTTACCCGGCCGGCCGCCCTCTTAAATCCAAAAGAATGCCCCCTTTCGCCTTCTCCCCACCTCCGCTCCCTTTTCTCCACGTCTTATTAATGTTGGTCCCTCTCTCGATCCCCCTTTCTCCCTGCTTCCCCTCTCAAGGCGCGGATCCAGGATTTCTTAGGGGTGGGGGCCCAATTTTTTTTCTTTTTGCTCCCGGAAATTTGAAAATCGCGCCAGCCGAAAATGCGCTCAGTGGGGGGTTGGGGGGGGGGGGGGGGTGGCGGGTAGTAGTGAGCACATTTTTTTGGGGGGGAAGCCCTCTAAAATTTGCATCCCCCCCCCCTCCCCCTTGAACGCCAGGGGGGGGGGGGGAATCTCCCCAAAAAGGTAAAATTAACGTGTTTTTACACGTTTTATTTTTGAAGGGGGGGGGGGACGGCCCCCCCCCCCGATCCGCCACTGCCCCTCTCTTACATCGCTCTCTCAGCTCCACCGTTCCTCTCTGTTTCCTCTACTTTTTGTTCCCCCTTTAACCTCCCGTTAGTGGGGTAGTGAGCACATTTTTTTTGGGGGGAGGGCCCTCTAAATTTTGCCCCCCCCCTTGAGCGGCAGGGGGGGGGGGCGTGGGGGGGGGGGGGGTAGGGTAAAATTAACGTGTTTTTACATTTTTATTTTCGAAGGGGGCCCCCCCCCCCACCCAGATCCGCCACTGCCCCTCTCTTACCTCGCTCTCTCAGCTCCACCGTTCCTCTCGCTTTCCTCTACTTATTGTTCCCCCTTTAACCTCCCCTTAGTGGGGTAGTGAGCACATTTTTTTTGGGGGGGGGGGCCCTCTAAATTTTGCCCCCCCCCCTTGAGCGGGGGGGGCGTGGGGGGGGTGGGGTAAAATTAATGTGTGTTTTTACATTTTTATTTTCGAAGGGGGCCCCCCCCCCCCCACCCAGATCCGCCACTGCCCCTCTCTCTCCACCGTTCCTCTCGCTTTCCTCTACTTTTTGTTCCCCCTTTAACCTCCCCTTAGTGGGGTAGTGAGCACATTTTTTTTTTTTTTTTGGGGGGGGCCCTCTTAATTCCCCCCCCCCCCCTTGGTGCTCAAGGGGGGGGGGGGGGGGGGCGGGGCATCTCCCCCAAAAGGTTAAATCGACGTGTTTTTACACGTTTTATTTTTGAAGGGACGGCCCCCCCCCCCCCCCCCCCTCCTCCCCGGATCCGCCACTGCCCCTCTCTCACCTCGCTCTCTCAGCTCCACCATTCCTCTCTGTTTCCTCTACTTTCTGTTCTCCCTTTAACCCCCCCCCCCCCCATTAATTCCTCTTTTTCCCCCTGCTTTCACAGAGTCTATATCACCTCCCATTTCTTGGTCTTCCTCCTCTTTCAGCCTAACATCATATATCGGGCATATATCATTATTATTGTCCCACTCATTTCTAGCCCTTCCTCCATTTTCTTCCCCATTTCATCCTCTTTTTCCTCATTCAATCCATCTCCTCCCTTCTTCCCTATTCTACTCTATATACCTCTCTCTTCTACCTCCTGCTCCCGCCCTCCTTTACCCCTCCAATTCTGTTTTCCACACTCAGTCTCCTTCTCACCTCGTCCCCTTCTATTCTCTCGATCCTCCTTCCCCACCCTCTCTAAACTCATTCTATCGCCTCATTCGCCGTCTTGCTCATCGTGTTGATATAGGTGATATATTACTATATTATCCTTGTCTCCTTATGTAGAAAACAAAACCTGTTACAATACAAAATATGGGGCACCTATCCCTCTTCACCAACCTCTCCCCGAATCAAAGAATATGTACAACTCATGGTTGGGAGGAACAAAAATTTAAATTTCCTCATAAAAGGAATCAATGTTACTGATCATGCTGAGCTTATAATGCAGTCGCTTGTCTTCACACATTCTTTATATATGAAACAGCCCCGGCAACTGAGTGGCCGGTGGCCGCCAATCACACTGCCCAAATCGCGTTCCAGAGAAGAACAAAGTCCACACAAAGAAATAAAATTCTCGACAAGAGTCAAGTGTTGAAGTGGATAGTAACTTTATTACAATTTATTACATATAATCATGAAAAGTCACATCTATGGGCTGGAAGCCCCCAACTCTGCTAAAACTTTAGCACCTCATGGCGGCAAAGGAAATGAGGTATGAAACAAAATGAGGAAGTCATCCGAAAAGTAAAAGCTCGTGCCAATTCAGGAACTGCTTCCCATTTTATACCTTCTGACACGTGTGTTGCCCCTTAATAGGGCGTGTCACTACGAGGCATTGCGTCAAATTAATCCCTGGAACCATATACACCCATATTAAAAGGAAATTTATTAATTTTGCGAACTTAACCTCCAGAGTTGAGCTCACCGGACCCACCATTACTCCTCTACAATCCATTGATGTGTATTGCATGTAGTCCACAGTCAGGAGGGTCACAAACCCCTCTACATGTACATCCACTGTCACATCTTGATTCTTGAGATGAACTCGGTAGAAGTATCCACATTGTTTTGGAGTTGCATGCTCCTTCTGGTGACTGCTCCCCCCTTCAGCTACTAGTACAGAAAAGTCCAATGGCATCCTTGTACGCAATTCCGACAAGCCGGCTGTTCATGAATAAAATATAAACTATTTTCAAATAGTATACAACTTTAGGAAGTCAAGCTGACATCATCAGTGTATTTCTTCTTCTTTTTCTTCTTGTTCTACTTCTTCTAGTAAGTAATCTTCAAAGAGTTATTCGTTTTATAAAAACATATTGTTCGTTCGACAGGAGTACATTCCTTATTTTCCATGCTTATCAGCCCAACGACAGATCCCAGATAATTATAATAATACATGGTCTTCATGGTCTGAAATGAAATTACTGTATTACCAAACATGCTTTTCATTACTAATATACTACGTTTGCGTAAAAGATCTAATTAAACATTCAGACCATTGTTTTTATGTTTAAAATCACCAATCCAAACGTTGAACTTGGGTTACTGTTGTTAAGAAAATATATTGTGAAAGTGGGATGGGTTGCATGTGGTAAGGATGTGTTGCATGTTAACAATTGCAACAGAAAGTTCTCGCTCTTCTATGGGGCGACTTACTTCAGACACTGTCATCTGGCCTCCGAGCTTTAGACAGCAAGGTCCTTGTCTACCATATCATTGTGAGCTTCTCATTCTACCCTTCATTTGCATGAAATACATTACATGTACAGGCACCTGTTTGTATAGAGACATAAAATAAATTCACTTTTACGGCATGTTCATGAAAGCAATGTGAAGTACTAATTATAAAGTGAACAGCAGGGTAGGGTTCTTGCAGAATTTCTAGAACTCGCAGTAAGGGTGTAATAAATATAAACTTTGAACAATACTGGTATGTAGAAAGGGATTTAGGGTAGCCCGAAATTGGGTCTGGCAATGTTTAATACATTTAGGGTTGACATTATGTTTAGCAATGGATCCAGGATTAAAGTTAAGAATTCATTTTGTGTTACAACATAACCAGTACATAAATGCCAATAGAGCACGTTGTAAAAATCGCTGAATTCTTTTAATTGGTAATACAGTGCTACATGTTTCACAAACTGCAGGCCAGTGTGTTTTTACTTTATAAAATCTATTTTAAATGATACTGTGTTACATACTTTTTTCTCTTCCACTCTACATCATGTTTCTGCTTTCACAATACAGAGGAAGATTTTAAAACTACCATTGATGAGTAAAAGATACATGCAGCTCCACCAGCACCTGGAAAATCAAGTTGTACAACACCTTCTCCTGAGACAATTGCTTCACATAATTTTTCTACACTATTAAACTTCATCCCTAGGCCTAACCCTAAACCTAAACCACCTTAATCACAATTCCAACCCTCAGTCTAACCCTACACCTTTGACAAAATAAAGCCTAGAGTAGTCGTTGCAGGAGCAAATGTTGAGTTACTAAAAATGCCATGACAGACTCATATGCTATGAATTTATCTCTGTTTCTTTCCCTGATTTGTTAAAAAAACATTGTAATATGCATTATGAATTACCAGTCCATTGTGCTTCGCTCATATATTGCCAGGCACAAGAGGCCATCGCTTAGAGGTAAGGGGCAGAACATCAAGACTGGAAGTGGAACCTCAAGGCACCCCATGATCTCTCAACAGCAAGCCCTTCCTCTCCATCTCTGGAACCGAATTATAAAAATATTCAATAAATATTAACCAAATATGTAAGAATACACAAAAATTGCATTATTTTTTTTTCTTCAATTGTCTTCAATGTTTACTTTCTTTTTCAGCAAAATATGAAGGTCAATTATTTTCTTTTTGCTTGTCATTCTGTTTCGTGTATAGGACTCCCCCCCCCCCCCCCCTCCCCCCATCCCTTCTTCAAGGCCTTCAAATGTTAATTATAAAAAAATATATATTGGAAGTTAAAATGCACTATAAATAAACACTACAGCAACTTGTTAGTAGACATCTTGTTGCACACATACCATGTAGCCACCCCTGAATCGATACTTCTCATACCAGCCCTTTGCATACCCCTCCAACTTGGCCTTATTTAATGCCCTCACCCATTTAAAAATTTCCTTTTACTTGACTAACTAAACAGGTGAAGTTTTAAAAAGTCCAAGTTAAAAAAAAAATTAAAAAAAATTACCTTTTCTTGTTGTGGACGGTTTTCTCCAGGACATTCTTGTTTCAGGCACATACTCAAAGAAGCAAGCATATGGTAATACACTCTGTATATTTCCTGTAAAAGAGAGGGGGAAAATTTATTCTTAAAATAGCTAGGTTCACATTCAGACTCAGTGACTGAAAACAACAGTCACTGCTACAATGTTTGCAGTCTAAAGACTGAGAGTAGAGACAGAGTCTTGACGTAAACTAAGAGACATAGAGTCAAGACTGCGCCAAAAAAAGATCAATACTCTAGAGTAAATTTAGAAACCACTAGCATGACTAGGCACCAGACTACACTACACTGCAGAGTGCAGTATACTTCTTCTCCTTCTTGAAGATAATCTGCCTCCTATCCTTCAATACCGGTACTGAAGATTCTTGCAGATGCCGTATATTCATGTATATATATATATATATATATTCGGCCTGAGTGGGGTGTGCAGGTAGACCACTACATCAGGTTTTTCCCCTATTCTTATACGAATAGTGCCGTGGGTTCTTAACGTGCAAGGGTAGTGATTATCCTGTACACGGGGTCTCCTTTTAACATCCTATCCGAGACGGATTGTTTTCCATGTAACATAGCCTGCGTCTATGAAACAACAAGGGGAGGGGCACGTTAACACACAACGCTTGCTTCAGTCATCCGCCTGGGTGCGATTCGAACCCAAGATCTTTGGGCCGACAGGCAGACGCTTTACCGACTGAGCCAATTTGCCTCCTAGTCCTCCTACTGTCTACCGACTAGACTCTAGATTATTTACATTTCTATTTTAATTCTAACTTAACTAAAGTCTAGTGAAATCTTTACTCCAGGGAGCTCCGTCACCGAAGCCCTTCGGAGGCCGTAGGCGGAGTTCTCTGAAGCATGTACATGTATAGCATGGAGTTAGTGAAATCTAAACACTGTTTGGGGGTTTGCAGTTTATTGCAGGAGTTGTTGTTTTGGCTGCTTACAGCTTAGCCTGCCCTTGAAATAAAAATGGAATTTTCAATTCTAAATTTATTAAATCCGACAGCCAAGTCCGGATAACAGCAACGGATGACAGTAGATCTACTACTACAGTATACCACTCCAGCAAAGTATAGACTGATATAGACCGAAAGCTTCAGTCTCTGATATCGACGGTTGTTCTGCTGAAATTGCATCTGGCTCATCTGACCGCCTCTATACATAGACTGAAGTACGTCCTATGGTGACTGAGTGGAACAAATGGTTTGGTTCGGCAGGACCGCGATGAATGAGATATGCAACAAGATTTTTACTCTTTACATCCTCATATATTCACTTTGGCTGTAAAATTACATTTGACTATATTAACAAATAAAAAATAACAAAGAAATATCTACTTTGACTTACGATAGCTTGCTCATTTAGATCCTACATTAACAAGTCAACGCAAAGCGTAGCATCCCCTCGCAGGGTACAAATGGCCTATATACATGTACATCAGAACAAGTTAACTCCATTGGACTATACTATTATATTACTAGGCAAGGAAGTTAACCACATTTTCACATATATGACCTTTCACCTTTCACCTACATACTCGGAAATTAAACTTAGCCTGTATTTTGATATCATGTACCTTCATATCAAATTTCATTAAAATCCGTCAAACATTACCGAAGTTATTGATCGGAATCCAAAATTGTTACGGACGCACGCACGGACGCACGGAAGGGCGGACGGCAGTGTTTCTATATCCCCTCCGACTTCGTTGCTAGGGGATAATGATTAATCCGAGAAAGTCTTGTAGTCAACATGATTCGTTGTCAGCCACCTGGTTTTTAGATGATGAATATTCATTTTTTCTAGACTAGTACTAGCCTAGATCTAGTAGTAGTAGACCTCTAGGTGTCATCAATTGTCACTAGATCTAAGTAAAGTACACATTTTGAGTGAAATCAGCTGAGTTTTGTAAAGTGCTGTGTGAAATGTTGAGAATCAATAGCACAGCTTTTAATGGGGTCCAGACAACTCGCCACAAAGACAACCCGCCCCAAGACAACCCGCCACAATACCCTGGACATCCCGCCACAATACCCTGGACAACCCGCCACAATACCCTGGACAACTCGCCACAGCCTTTTCGGACAACTCGCCACACTTTTTCCCATCATGATTTCTAGATCTAAAATGAAATGAAATTGTAATTTTTCATGATTTTCGTGCTTTTATAAACACAGTCATTACAAAGAATAAAGAATAAAGTTGATTTCCCTAATTGTAACAATAATATATATTGAAATGAAATTGTCATTTTTCATGATTTTCGTGCTTTTATAAACACAGTCATTACAAAGATTAAAGTTGATTTCCCTTGTAACAATATATTGAAATGAAATTGTCATTTTTCATGATTTTCGTGCTTCTATAAACACAGTCATTACAAAGAATAAAGTTGATTTCCCTTGTAACAATATGATCGCAAGAATGGCTGGATTTCTGAAAAAGGGGCACCTACAAAGGGACACATCAACAATAATAAAAACCATTTTTAGATATTTGTATAAAGGCCTACGCCTTCATCAAGATTGTGAATACATTACCACGAATGACATCCATATTTGTTTATTTCTTTACGTGGAACAACATATTGTTTAAGCAACGTACTTCGCAATTTGGTGTGATGAACTGAATATCGATTTTCGAGCAAGCGAGCTAAAAGTATAAGGTCCCATTTGAAAAATTACATGATGAATATTAAAGACAATCTAATGAAGAAAGACTGAAAAGTTCTTTTCTGTAATTATGAGTAACATAATTAAAACATCGGAGAAAGAAAAGTAGGCACTTATCAGAAGGGAAAAGGACATGTACAAAATGATAAGGGGGCACTTTAGGGGAACCTGAAAAAGTGGAGGCACAGTGCCCCCCCCCCCTCCCAACCAAGAATGCCGCCTCTGACTGTGGGCAAAAGTGCGAAACTAACCCAGAAAATCTAGAAATAAACCAAATTTCAATTTTATATCGCTGGTCAACTGCCCCCTCCCCCATCAGTACGCCAGTGCTTCCAGGAGGCCTATCCTTCTATGAATTCCTACCATTAAAAATTATCAGAAGGGAAAAGGACATGTACAAAGGATAAGGGGGCACTTTAGGGGAACCTGGAAAAGTGGGGGCACAGTATCCCCCCCCCCCAACCAAGAATGCCGCCTCTGACTGTGGGCAAAAGTGCGAAACTAACCCAGAAAATCTAGAAATAAACCAAATTCCAATTTTATTTCGCGGGTCAACTGCCCCCCCCCCCCCCCTATCAGTACGCCAGTGCTTCCAGTATCCTACCATTAAAAAAATTCTGGGACAGAAAAATGCAGCTGTTATAGACCTCTAGATCAAAAGTATATTATTGTTACAAGGGAAATCAACTTTATTCTTTGTAATGACTGTGTTTATAAAAGCACGAAAATCATGAAAAATGACAATTTCATTTCAATATATATTATTGTTACAAGGGAAATCAACTTTATTCTTTGTAATGACTGTGTTTATAAAAGCACGAAAATCATGAAAAATGACAATTTCATTTCAATATATATTATTGTTACACTTAGGGAAATCGACGTTATTCTTTATTCTTTGTAATGACTGTGTTTATAAAAGCACGAAAATCATGAAAAATGACAATTTCATTTCATTTTAGATCTAGAAATCATGATGGGAAAAAGTGTGGCGAGTTGTCCGAAAAGGCTGTGGCGAGTTGTCCAGGGTATTGTGGCGGGTTGTCCAGGGTATTGTGGCGGGATGTCCAGGGTATTGTGGCGGGTTGTCTTGGGGCGGGTTGTCTTTGTGGCGAGTTGTCTGGGATTCCTTTTAATACACAGCCAGGACGCAGGAGGCGAGTTTGCTCAGTTAGTAAAGCGTCTGCCTGTCGAAGCAAACATGGAGATATAGATCTAGGTCACGTCTACTAGAATAGCGCTTAATACAAATGTCTCTCAGCGCCTTTACTTTAGGCCTAAGCGCTTTACAACAAGTATATAGACCCTAAATATTATTAGATCTACTATCCTTCTTCTTCAAGATAATCTGCCTCCGGCCTCCTTCAATACTGAAGATTCTTCAAGATGCCTGCCCTAGAATCTATACCATTGCCATATAGTACTAGGCCTGATTGGGGTGTGCATGTGGACCATTACACTAGGGTCTAGATTTCACTACTTACTAGACCTCTAGCTATAATTTATAGCTACGAATAGTGCAATGAAATGGATCTTTGCAAGGGTGGTGACTCTCCTGTACACGGGGCCTCCATTTAACGTCCTATCCTGTTTTCCACTTGACATAACCTGCGCCTATGAACAAGGGAAGGGGAACGTTAACACACTTCAGTCATCCGCCTGGGTTCGGGTCGAACCCGGGATCTCCCTTCTTAGATCTAGACTAGACCTATATAAAAATTCAATATTATTTATTATTATTATGCAGCTAGACTATGTGTGTTCAGTAGACAGTAGGCCGTAGGGTCTGTTGCGAAAATGCCCGGGAGTTCTAGGGCGGGCACTACATGCAGCTTCCGCTCTCAGGTCGCGCCTGAAATTGGGCAATTTAATTAGATCCGTCTAACTTACTTAGGCCTACTCATGCACTCGCCCCGGCACACGAGCTCTAACTCTCAGGATCAATCTTTGTTTAACCTCCGGAAAGTATTCAAATATCAAAAAATACATAAATATCACCTTATGAATACGAAATTACGGAATAAATATGACATGTACTTACAGGATTTCTACAGAAAACCGTGTCCAGCACCGAAGTTGCCTAGCTGTTACTGTATGTTGTCACAGATAAGGTCGTTGTTGTTGTTGTTGTTGTTTGGTATTATCGGCGTTTCATTCTTTTTTAGAATATTTACGCCTTTTACTTTATTTCTTTCTTTTTTTTCTTCTATATTTTGGTACTATTTGTAAATTCATACTCATCTCTTTTTTTTTTTTTTGGATAATATAATCTCAGATCTACTGGTCCATGAAAACCCCTCACCGCAATTGGCACCTTCCTGCCAGACCGGCGCGGTACATTGCGCAATCTTCTCGGCCATCATTGGCCTAGGCAACTCTGGTGCCGGTGAGAGGATTCTGGGGTAGATCTCCAGAGTCTCTTGTTTGGGGTTTACCGTCCTCAATCCGTCTTTACTCTTTCTTACCTTTTCTCTTCTAGTATTTTTCCATTTTGTAAAACCTTATTTTTCTATCTAAGTAGGTATCAACATCTTAGGGCATTTGGTTGTCGTGCGATATGTGCAAAAAAAAAAAAAAAAAAAAAAAAAAAAAAAAAAAAAAAAAAAAAAAAAAAAAAAAAAAAAAAAAAAAAAAATTAGGAACACTCAAAACGCCTCGTTCTACGAACGAAACGGATCAGTGCTCTCTGGGTCGCACTTTCTGTTGATTTTAGGAGTTTCATAATTTCGTTTGGGCTCGTTATATCACTTTCCATTATCAGCATTGCTCTTTCTATTGTATATGTTGGACATTCCATCAGATAGTGTGTTATTGTTTCAGGGGTGTTACAGTATTTACAATTTTTGTTGGCTTGGCCAGGTTGGGTTGTTTGGGATACCCATACTTTTGAGGGGTCTGCGTTTAGTCCTATGTTGCAAAGTCTGAGCCTACGAATTATGACTTCGCAGTCTCTAAAAAGGGTGCTCTCAAAGTTATGTTGAATTGTTGGTTTGAAAGGTCTTACGTTTGTTTTATTGTAATTTTGCCATGTTTCTTCCCAACTCTTGTATAGTTCTATTTTCAATACTGCTTTCATTTCAGACAAACATAGCTTGTTATTTATTTGTATTTCTTCAGTTAGGGCTTGTTTTGCGAGAAGGTCCGCTATTTCGTTTCCCTGTATTCCACAGTGAGAGGGGATCCATTCTAGATGGACTTGAATGCCTTTGTATGCCAGTCTTGTGTATATATACTTGATGTCGTTTATGAAGTTATCTGACTTATCTCCTTTCATTGATTGCATTGAGAGGAGTGCGCTGAGGGAGTCTGTGAATATCACAACCCCTGCGTGCAGGTTTAGTTGTTCAACCCATAATAGGGCAATTGTTATTGCTGCTAACTCTGCTCGGTAGCTTGAGGTATGGTCTGTAAGACGTTTAGATTGTCTTATTGAAAAATGTGGGACAAAAAAGGACGCAGCTGCTGTGCCTGATGGGGATTTTGAGCCATCCGTATATATATGAAGGCTGTTATTCCATTTTGATTTTATGAGTTCTATGCTTCTTAGTCTCATTTCACTCGGGTTATCATTTTTTCTTATTGATTCAGTTAGTTCAATGGATATTTGGGGAGTGTAGTTGTGCCAGGGGGGGATAGGAAGTGGTATGACTTTTTCTGTAATTGAGTCTATTATTTTTTCATTTTTTATTCTCAAACCAAAAGGTTGTCTCACTTTTTTATTCTTTAACTTTTCAAATTGCCAACATGGTTGGATGTTTGGTTTTAATGGGTGGTTTGTCATACGGGAAAGATGGACGTGATACTTTTCTGTCAGCATTTTCCTTCTTAACTCAAGAGGGGGCTCGTCCATTTCCACCTGTAGGGCGGCGAGGGATGTGCCGTGTAAAGCACCTGCACATATACGTAGGGACATGTATTGCATAGTGTTTAAAACTTTTTTGGAGCTTTCGCTTGCCGAGTCATATGCCTCGCACCCGTAGTCTAGCATTGATCTTATTAAAGATCGATATAGCATCAGTAATGTTTTTGTGTTACTTCCCCAACTTGTATGAGCGACGCTTTTCAGGATATTAATTTTTTTTCTACATCTGTTTCTGATATCTTGTATATGGGTATTCCATGTTAATTTTTTATCAAACGTGACGCCAAGAAATTTATGATTTGCTTGGAATTGCAGTTCTTTTTCTTTAAGTTTTATTACGGGGAGGTTTGTTCTGTTGCTATTGCTGAAGAGCACCGGGGTACTTTTATTTTCGGAGAGATTAAAGCCCCTTTGCTCGAACCAAATTTGTAGGTTGTTTAAGCAGTTTTGAATTCTATTTACTATAAAATTAATGTTAGGTCCTGAAGTCCAAATGGCGCAATCATCTGCGTATAAAGATATGGAGACTGAGGGGGTTGTGGGAATTTGACAGAGCATAAGGTTGAACAGGATTGGACTTATGGTACTACCTTGCGATAGACCGTTTTCTGTGTTGTTTATGTGCGACAGTGTATTTTCTATTTTTACCTGGAATGTTCTATTTCTTAGAGAATCGTTTATAAAGTTTAGTGTTTTACCTCGTATACCTATATCATAAAGATTTGATATCAATCCGTCTACCCAAAGTGTATCATAAGCTTTTTCTATGTCGAGAAAAATGGCGACTGTATGCTGTTTAATGGCTATGTTTTTCTGTATTTCATTTTCTAAACTGACGATACTATCTGTAGTGCTTCTATTCTTTCTAAATCCTATTTGGAATGAAGGGAGTATTTCCTGTTTTTCGATGAACCACTGTAGTCTTACATTCACCATTCCTTCCATGATTTTGATGAAACAAGCTGTGAGTGCAATTGGTCTATACGATGATACTTTATGAGGTTCTTTGTTAGGTTTTTTGATTGGGATAATAATTGAGTGTTTACATTGCCTTGGAATTTGCCCCGAGCTCCAAATTTGATTTATCAAATTTAGCATGGTCTGTTTTGCTGATTTCGTGAGTTTTTGGTATATTAAATATTTAATCTTATCGTGTCCGGGGGTAGAGGAGGAATTTTGACGTTCGATTGCTGCTTCTAATTCTGATAGTGTGAAATTGTCGTTTAGGACTGAGGGAAAATTTTCTGGTTCTTTATTTTTAATTTTCTCTATATTATTTGCTACGTGAGTGTACAGTTGGGAGCTAGGGTCAACTTTGTGTTTAGTTACGTAAGTATAATCTTCAGCTATCTTGTTGACCTTTTCCTGATCGGTAATATATTCTATATCATTTTCTTTTAGTGTTGGTAAGCATTCTTTTTTTGGTATGATATTGTTGTATCTTTTTATCATTTTCCAAATTTCTGAAGTCGGAGTGAATCTATTAAGCCTGGAGCAGTATTTGTTCCAATGTTGTCTTTTTGCTTCTCTTATTGTCTTCTGTGCAAGGGCTTTCTTATTTAGGTATTCGTAGAGATAATCTTTCGTCATGTATTTGATGGCTTTATTTTTGGCTTTGTTTCGTTCTTTAATTCTCTTTTGGCAGTCTTCATTCCACCATGGATTGTGTGGTTTATGTTTTTTTGTTACTGTTGGTATGGTTTCCTTCATAATTTTCTTTGTGACGTTTATGAATTCGTTGTAGTATTCTTCTGTGTTTTCATTTGGAGTTATATTGGATAGTTCTGTGTCGCATAATTGTTCAAATGCTTTCCAGTCTGCTTTTTTGTAACTAAGATATGGTTCGTTTCGTTTTGTATATTCTCTTTCATGTATTTCTTCTACAGGATGTAGATTGATTTGTATTTCTATAGGGAAGTGATCACTTCCTAACTTATCTTGCTTTACATTCCACTGACATCTATTAGCTATGGAGGGTGTTGCTAAGCTTAGGTCTAGACAGGATAATTTTCCCGTATGGTGATCCATTCTCGTACCTGATCCATCGTTTAGTATTATAATATTTTTATTTTCAATAAATTCTTCTATGATGCGGCCATTTACATCGGTAGTGTTACTGCCCCATAATGAGTTGTGGCTGTTAAAGTCTCCTAGGATTAGCAGGTACTTTGGGGTAGCATATTCTGGAATGATGGCCTTAAGGGTATCTATGTCTAATCGCTGACATGGATTGTAATAATTTACTACTGTCATGCAGGAAGTTTTGAGGTGCAGTTGAATAGTTTGCAATTCAAAGGTATTATGGAGTGTTATATTTTTGAAATATACAGAGTTGTGTACGTAAATGGCGCATCCGCCTCTCACTCCGGTTTTTCTGTTGCGTGGTATACATGTATAATTTGGTATTTGTAATATATTATTTTCTGTAAACCACGTTTCTTGAATGCACAATATATGGTAAGGGTTATTCCTGCGTGACAGTAGCAATTGAACTAGTTCGTCCCCGTGCCCCCCTTGGAGACCTTGGGCATTCCATTGTAGTATGGATAGTGCCGCCATGAAAAGGAGAATTTTAATTATGTTCTCCATGGTGTTTCATTATTTCTAGCTCTTCAGGTAATATATTGAGACATGTCTGGGCTTCTGCGAGAAATTTGTTCATCTTTTGTGTTTGTGGGATGTCTTGTTGCATTATTTCTATGACGCGGAAAAGAAACATTAGGAGATCCAGGGAGATGTGACTTCTCCCTGGGAGATCAGTGTTCTTGGCTGTGGTAATGATGTTGGGTTTACCGTGACCACCGCTGTTGGAATGTTGAATTCTCCCCTGTTCTACAAATACGGAGGGGGTAATAAAACTTTCGCTTTGATTGTTTTCTATTTCAATGTGTTGTGTAGGGTCTGTATTTGGTCTGCTTTGTGTGGGAATTGTTTTACTCTTTGTTTCTTTCTTTTCTTTGTTTGTGGGTACTTTACTATTGCCGTTTGTGCTCGATTCCTTAGAGTTAGTTTTTTCCTCTACTTTTGTTGCCTCTTTGAAATGTTTCGTGGCTTCGGCATAACTTATTTTCTTTTCCAAGCGGATTTCTTGGACAATTCTTGCGTTTTTGGCTTCGATGCATCCTTTGAATGCTGCTGAGTGGTTTCCTTTGCAGTTAACACAAAAGGGATTAGATTTTCTGGGACATTGGTCGAAAGGGTGGTCTTCTCCACACCTGACGCATCTTTGCTTGCTATTGCATTGCGAAATTACATGTCCCATGCGTTGACATTTGAAACA